TTATAAACTCTTTATTATATATTATAAGGAGATAAATAAATAAATAAAATATATAAATTAAATATTAAAATAATACTTTTAATATTATATTAATTATAAATAAATTAACTAAGCTAAGAAGCTATTAGCTACTTAATTAGCCTATAATATAGCTATAAATAAAAATATAAAGATTATATTAGCTTATATTAACTTTAGATTTATATTAAATATATATTAATAATTATAAAATATTATTATTAATCTTAAGGTAATTTTTATTAATAATTAATTATATAACCTATATAAAGAAATATATATAGAACTTAAATTTATTAAGAATAAAATAATAAATTATATTAATAAAAAATAAATTAAGGGATTAATTTTCTTAAAGAGAAATATAATCTATCTTATAATAAAAAATATTAAAATAAAATAATAAAATAAAAAACTTAATTATAAATTTATTAAACCTTATAAAATTAAATAAAAAATCTTAAAATATAATTATAAATTAGATTTATTACTTAAGGTTAAGCTTTATTTAATCTTTTATATTTTATTATTTAAATTAATATAAAATATTATTTAAATATAAATAAATAATAAGCTTAATATAGAAATTAATAGATTAAAAAAATATATTATAAAGGCTATTTTTAATATAAATAAAATTAATAATAAAATAATATATTTTATTAAATAAAAAGATTATCTTAACTTAGAAAATATATAAGAACCCCTAGAATACTTTATTAATATATAATACCTTTTAAAGAATTTTTATTAATAATACTAAATATAGGCTTATTAAGACTAATAGTATTTTAATTAATTAAATTAATAGCCCTAAAAGAATATACCTTTATAATAATAAATAATTCCTCGTAGAGCTTATTTAATTCCTCTAAGGTATATAAGCTATACTTAAAGGCCTTATTATTATATACTTTAAGTAATTACTTCTATTTCTAGATATAAGTAAACTTAGCTATTATTTCCTCTAAGGTAACCTTTACCTTAGCCTTTTTATTTTCTAAGTGCTTATATTCTTAGATATTTTTTATAATTATAAAAGATTAATTAATAGCTATAAAAGAATATTAATATATATTTATAAAAAGAAGTTATATTAGCTTTATTATATATTATTTTTATATTAATATAATTAAAATAATAATTAAAATAATTAAAAATTACTTTATAAGATAAGCATTAATAAAAATAATAAATATAAGATATAATTTTAAAATTAAAAGCCTTAATATAATAAGAGGATATTTCCTAAGGGATAAACCGGTTATATTAGTTTATATTAATACTAGATTATATTATATAGCCTTAAAGGTAAATATAATATTATATCTAGTAATATACTTAAGGGTATTAAATATAACTAAGTTATATTAATAGCTAAGGTAGCTATTATATAAGAAAGTATAATAAGCTCGTTTTATATACTTATAGTTAATCTTTAGACTAATATTCTCTAGGTTTAGTCTAGGGTAGGACTAATATTTCTAATATTTAGTCCCTAGATTAATGCGGGCGATATTTAGTCCCTTTAGTCCCTTGCTTAGTTAGAGTGTTTCTACTATATTTCCCCGCCTAGCTTATATTATAGCTATAATACTTAATATAAATAAAGAAACCTTATACTTTAGAAAGTTTTTATAAGGAAATATACTTAGAAACTTAGCCTAATATTATATTAATAAAAGGAGATTTTTATAAATTAGAATTACTTATTAATAATACTTAGTCGCTAAAATTAATCTTAAGGATAAAATTAATAGAGGGGGAACCTTATATTATAGCTATAATATAAGCTAGGTAGGGAAATATAATAGAAATATTCTAACTAAGTAAGGGACCAAAGTAATTAAATATTACTTATATTAATCTAGAGATTAAATATTAGAAATATTAATCTTATTTTAGACTAAACCTAGAGAATATTAGTCTAAAGATTAACTATAAGTATATAGAATATACTTATTATACTTTCTTATATAATAATTATTTTAGCTATTAATATAACTTAGTTATACTTAATACCTCTAAGTATATTACTAGATATAATATTATATTACCCTTTAAGGCTATATAATATAATCTAGTGCTAATATAAACCAATATGACCGGTTTATCTCTTAAGAATTACTCTCTTATTATAATTTTAAAGAAAAAAGAAATATTTAATAAAAGTTTAAGTTAAATATATTTGCTAAGTTATCCCAGGCATTGCTATTATTACTATGCATGGGCTCTAAAGCAGCCCTTATATAATTTATACTTATAAGGCTAATAAGTAAAAGTCTATTAAGGTAGGCATTAGTAGGGGAAAGCTTATTCTAGGTAGTTTATATAAGATATATTAATATAAGTAAACATAGCTTAGTAATAGAAATAGGCTTTTTATAAGAATTAACTATTTTTTACTTTAAATATAACTCTATAAAGGCTAGCTTATCTCGCGCAATAAACTACCTAGTAATAGCCTTAAGTATAGTAGTTTAATTAAATTAATTTTTAACTTTTAAAAAAGTTAATTAGATTTTTATTTTTTAAAACTTGTACTTATATAGACTATCTGTCTTAGTAATCCACTCGAGCACTAACATATACCTGGAACCCAACTGGTTTAACAAACCAGCAATTTTTAGTAACCCACGGTTTATCCCCTCGAAGCTCAAAGTCAAACTCATGCAGCAACCGTGGAATCATCTTAGAGATCTCTAACGTTGAGATGTGTCTTCCGATACATGTTCGGGACCCCAAGCCAAACTGGAAACTGGTCAGAAGCCGCAGCAACTTTTAATCAATCTTTGATACTCACGGGCATCCAGTGTCGGCTCATTTTTGATAGCTGATCCGCATCCGTAGTCAACCAGCGTTCTGGTCTGAACGAGTTGGCGTCTTGGCCAAAGATTGCTGGGTTGTAATGCTCAACCCAACTGTTAATACCTACGATGGTCTGTTTCGGTGATTAGCGTTATCCCATTGGCGGAACACAGATGCCCTCTCACCCCTTCTGGGAAGAATTTCCCGCTGATGGCAGCTCCTCCCTTAGGCACAACTCTCTCGATAGGTAAGCCAGTTGCTGGATGCATCCTGAGGGCTTCTTTAATAACTGCCTGAAGGTATGGAAGGCCAAGACTGTCTTGGAAGTTGATGCTCGTCGCAGGACCGGTCTTGTTGGAAAAGAATCCCTCAATCTCCTCTCGCAGAATTCGCAACTTGTCTGGGTTGCGGAGAAGATGATATAGAATGGCACTGAGGCTTATCGCCGTAGTATCCGAGCCTGCGACCATGTTCGCCACGCAGCCGGCAAGGACGTGATACTGCGTAAATGAGGAGTTATCGGCTGTGTTCTTAGCAATGAACTTAGAAAGAAAATCCATGGTGCCATGATATTCAGAGGCACTATCGAGGTCATCAGAGATAATCGCCTTTGGATTAGACTGATGGTCTGCCAGACACTGCTTGGTGAACTCGACGATATAATGCCGTCCTGTGCCGCGTTTCCCGAGCCGGTTCCTGATGGGTGCGAGGTACTGATGCAGAGACGGGTATACACCGATCTCGGTCGCGTAGTACAGATGATTTTCAAGGTTTTTGATGATATCTCCGACATCCTGACCGTGATCAAGGAAGCCAAGTCTTTTTGAGTAAGTGATCATTCCAATCACGTCAAAGGCGTAGCATTGGAACCAATGCCCCATGTCAACAGGTTCAGCAGTGCCCTGCCGACCACTCATCTCCGACAGTCTCTGCAGAAACAGCCTTGTGCACTCGTCGACATAGTGCTCGTAGTTAACTAGTGAAGACATGCTATACATGTTCTAGTAGAGCCGCCTGTTGGCACTGTGACGTTTCTCATCGCGGTCCGAGAAGATGGACCAGTTGTGCGGATTCGGATTGCCCCAGGAATCATACCAGGACGACTTAAGGAAAGCGCCGCCATGTCCGTAGATGACCTTGGCAGCGAGAGGATCGCAAATGCTATATCTCTTTGGACCATAACGGACGATTGGGCCTGTTGCTCGACGTCAGTTGTGAAACATGCAATCCAGCAAAACGGCTTACCATGTTTCTGATGTAGAGCGATATTGTCACGCTCGAATTGGCCTCTGTTGATTCGCCAAGCGTACCAAAGATCCGTGAATCGTGCTAGCCAAGGCCCAGGGACTGACGCCAATGGGGAAGCCAAGATTTGATAAAGCCTGATCAGCAGCTGGACTGCGAGAAGAAGGGCAGGGGCTAAGAGGAGGAGATAAGGATGCATTGTAATCTCTATCAATGGCCTAGATACGGCCCGTGATTGTCAAGTATCTCGAGATATCGGGGTGTCTTATCTAGGTGGGATGATATGAAGAATCCCCGAACCAGCCCAAAACGCTAAGAGGTCAGAATTTGCTATGACAGATTTCGACTACTTAGTGGATCTAAAATCGGGGTTGCGTTATCTCCATAGATACTGGGGGAGGATTGTATAGCTGGAATCCGAGGTATTCGCCGCTTCACCCCGCATCTCAGAAGCTCACGGACGACCTCGGCCGCGAAGCCGAACCAATAGTATAAAACCCTGCAATTCTTACCTGAGATGCTACGAAGCAAGATTATGCGTGTAACGGTCGGTCTTGGCTGCAGAAGTATCTAGAAGTCTGTCGTTGCTTGTAGCTGCCGACGGGCGTTTTTTCCATCTGCAGCCTTCACGGACTTCTCGGCCGGTATGCGGGGGCTGCCGGCCAAAGTATCGAGGCAGGAGCTGAAACTTAAACACGCAATATTCATGCAATTGTCTTACCACGCAATGCAATGATCACTTCACCCTAGGATTTCAGAGAACAGAAAATCAGAACATCATGCAAAGCACTCTCCCAGCGTCATAGTACCGCGAGCCAGGCTTCTACGAGCTTGAGCGACGGGCCATATTCAGCAAATCATGGATACTCATCTCCCATTCCTGCCAGTTCAACGAGCCTGGAAAGTACGCTCGTTATGAAATGGCCGGCTACCCTTTCTTCATCATCCGGGACCGAGCTAGAAGCGTCAACGCGTTTCTCAACGTATGTCGCCACAGAGCGTTCCCGATTGTGCATGAAGATGCGGGGAAGGTCATGGTGCTATCATGCAAATACCACGGTATGAGTAGACTTAAAGTTTCTGGAGCCTCAGCTGACTTTGGCAGGATAGTCATACAGTATGAACGGAAACCTGGCCAAGGCCCCCCGGTTTGACCAGGTTGAAGGCTTCCAGAAGGATGACTACAAACTGTACAAGGTGCACACTCACATCGATGATCTTGGGTTCCTCTGGGTCAACCTAGATGCTACTGAGAAGCCGACTCTGAGCTGGGAAGAGCAGTTCGGCGGAGTAGACAAGCAGCCAAGGCTGAGCAACTTTGACATGAGCAACTATGAGTACGATCACACTTGGTCGATGGAGGGCAAGTTTAACTGGAAGACTCTGATTGAGAACTACAATGAGGTTTGTGCACCGGTTCGACCTTTGGTCGTTCAATCTTCTAATGGGAACCAATAGTGCTACCATTGCCCTACCGCTCATCCCGGCCTTGCACCATTCTTTCGAAATAACAGGCAAATGGTATACGGTTGCCACAAGTACTGGGTTGAGCACCTCGGCGGAAAGGGCGAAGAGCGTTCAAGCTCAGTCAGTCCTACCTACATGTTCCCAAACGCCTCAGTCACATTGACGTAAGACTCTGAGATCCCTGACAATATTCCAACTAACACTCTTGAGACCCGTCTTCTTCTACATGATGTCCATTGTCCCAACCTCGGCTACAACCAGCCTGATGCGGTACGAGGTCTACCGTGCCAAGAACGCAACGAAGGAGCAGCTGCAGGAAAAGCTCGACTTCTTCGCCCAGGTCGAGGGAGAGGACAAGTGGCTCGCCAACGGATCCCAGGCCAACCTGAACAACGACACGTACACCACCGGGCCGTTCCATCCTGATGTCGAGCAAGGGGTCACGTATATCACGGGGCTGGTGAAGAAGATATTGCATAATCATTTTGACGAGGAGAAGAAGCGCGGTCAGGAGTGGTGGCCTGCTCGCAGGGCTCTTGCTCAGTCATCTTCTGAGGAGGATAAGGCGTTTTGCCGTGGTGTTTGCGGGCACTCTGTCCTCAACGGAAATAATGCTCCGGAGGGGTTATCGTGGTGATTGATTCATTCCATGAAATTTTTCTAGAGTCGCTTTAAATTTTATTACTTAACATAAGAGCTATATTATTCATTCATTCTTTATCATGGCATGATGCTATCTTATGGCTCATTTAATCCATAAGGCCCGGGCTTTAACAATAAAAAAGAATATATTATTAATCTAGAACACATTGACTATAATACAAGCATTTTAGATCTATACAATAATGCCCCTAAGAGCATTCAGCGGTACCAGTATCGTCACGAGCTACTCTCTTTGTTCAAGTTACCCAATCTGCTTCAAAACATAGCGAGATATATTATACAGTCAATTATTTAGTATTCTCAGCAAAACCCAGGACATCTTAAAGGTAGACCCCATTACATTTTTCCACATGTGGTTTTAGAGCAACCTTACTACCCTTCAGACAAAGCCAAGACACCTCTCAATGTAAAGAAATAGCCTAGGTTTATACCAGTTGAGAATTAAATTCAGTGCTACCTGTCTCATCCTCATCTACCAAATATCAGACAAGCCTTGCCTATTTCAAACCAACCACACCTCCTTACCCCTTCCGCTCTATCCGCCTTGTTCCTATCATCACGAAAAACTTGTCCCTCCATAACACGGATTCCCAATAGTCTAACCCTTTGAGTGTGCGACGGGCATGTCAAGAGACACTGACTAAGCGCTTTCAAAAGTGACCTTAGTCTCGGCGTCGAAGGCTCGAAGCACCGAGCGCGCATTCTCAGCCCCTTCTTTGACAAGGCTGGCAATCTTCTCGGACCTTGGCAAAAAGCGCACCTTGAAAGGCACCGGGCGATTTACTTGCGAGACGGTGTATGCGTCTGGATCGAGAGTGACCTCGACTTCCTGTTCATTTGTTAGCCGGCAATCCGCGGATTATTACAATATGCTCACATTTTCATCCAGCCCGGGGCGGATATGGAATGCCCACAGCAAAGAGACAATAGTAAAGTATAGACTCTGCTGCGCCAATGCCTCTCCGCTGCACACTCGCCTGCCCCAGCCAAACGCGTTATGCCCTCTCTTGTTCGGGTAAGCCGGCCGGTCGAATCCATCAAGAAACCTTTCCGGCCAGAACCTCTGCGGCTAGGGATACTCGCGCGGGTTGCGTGAGATGGCATAGAGATTGCCGATGACAGCTGTTCCCTTTGGAATGAGGAATCCGTTGTGGACATGATCCTCAGTCGGGGCGTGGGGAGGACCGCCGAGGGCGAAAGCAGGCCGCCACCGAAGTGTTTCGTTGATGATGGCCGCCAGATAGGGGAGATTCCCCTCGTCGGACCAATCTGGATAGCGGTCGTGGCCAATCACGCCATCTATCTCCTCCTGTGCCTTATGTTGAACATACGGGTTGAGGCACATGGCCAGGACAAACGTCAACATTATACTCATCGTGGTATCAACTCCAGCGCCAATGAAGTTGCCAGTCAGATTTGAAATCTCGACCTTGGTGAGACCATGTTCTTCTTTCTCTCTCAGCAGCCTCTTTGCAAAGTTATCCTGTGCAGCCTCAGCGCCCTCGACGGACAAGGCGTAAAAATATTTGTTGGAAGTATCGGCAAGCTTCCTCAGCTAATTGGGAAGCGCGTTGAGCCATAGAGGCATCGAGGCAAGGATAGGTATGGCCTCGGTGTAAGTCTTTCCTGGGAAGCCGAGATTGGCACTTCCGACAAATGCCTAGGCCACTTTGAGGACATTGTCGGATTCACTGCTAATCCGGCGGCCCCAGGCGATGACGGATACGATGGACACGGTGAACCGCAGGGCACCCTGGACGAATCTTCCGGGATCATTGAGACATTCGTTGATGAGAAGCTTAGACTCGTTTGCCTAAACAGCTCGGTATGTTTGGACAATCTGGGCATTTGCAGCCGAGTGCTAATAATCGGATTAGTATCACCTTGCCAGTACCGATAAGGACCGCAACTCACAGTAAGTCTCCGGTGCAGTCGCCACTACTCCCCGTAGGCCAGGCCAGCTTGATTGAACTTGTTCAAACCAAAGATCTTTCCAGTGAGCGTCTTAACTACTCGTGATGAGTAAATGTTTGCCATCTTATCGCACAGATTCGACATTGACCAAGCATCGTTGCAAATGATAACAGGGGTATGTCCATCCCAGATAGTGATGATGGGACTCTGGTACTTGAATGACCACTCTTCGAATTTCTTCCACTGTCTGCTGTTGGGGATTTGAAAGATGTTTCCAAACAAGGGTAGCGGGAATAGGCCAGGTGCCATACGCCGTCTAAGCCGGAGGATGCGTACGTAGTCGACGAGAACCCAGATCACACCGTAGGCAATGGCGACTGCAGCCGCTACAACAGGCAAGATAAATATCAACATGATTGCCTCTTTGGTCAATGTAGTAAACTAATTGAAGGGGTGATAGCTCTGAGGGTGGAAGCAACAAAGTGAATCGTCTACTATATGTTGGGCTTCGTTCATGACCAGGGAGGGAATGTAAGAGAGCATCAATTGACTACTACTGCAGCTAATCGGCCGGAGTAAGCCTATCTCCAGCCGGCTGGATTGGTCAGGCCTACTGATACGGAGGCAGCAATGAGGAGGGGCTGCCCTCGGGAAATCTAACGGGGTGGGACTCTCTCGGGGTTTGGGGTTTGTCGGTAACCCACCCCGCCGGCCGAGCATCCGACCCGGGTTCGTCTTGAGATAAGGAAGATATGGGAGATTTCCAAGGAGATGGTGCCCTTCCAATGTAGAATTTTGGGATGGCCCAAGGTCGCATTTCACAAGACAATTTGGAGAAAGGACAAGTTATTTTTCAGTAACAAATATTCGCAACTCTTCAGTCTTTTGGATTGATAAATCTAGCTAGGCCTATACCACGACTAATATCACGCATTTCATCTATCCATGAGAGCGGCTAACTACTTGTCCTTCTTCTCGAGATACTTCTTAGGCACTCGAAGCGTGGCATAGTTCGACATGGCATCCAAGTGCTCCTTGTCCGAAATCGGCCTGCCCTCCTGCACATACGTGCCCAAAAGCTTAAAGTAGTTGATATAGTACGCCGGAGTGTACGTGTTGAAGAACTTAACCTCCTGGTCCGTCGGGTTGCTAAAGGTATGGGGAGCCCGGGTTGGGACAGTCACGTAGTCCCCCTCGTAGGCGTCGATAATATCCTCAGTGCCATCCGCCTTTGGAAGATAGTAGCGAATTGTGCCCTTGGTCGTCAGAAAGGTCTCGTCGTGCATCTCGTGCCAGTGGGCCGGTGGGCCCTTGAGCTTTGGGGGGAGAGTGAACTCGGCCGCTCCGATGCGGTTGTCTTTACCCGACGAGTCACGGGTCAGCTTCTTCCTGTTGGGGGCTGGCCGCACTCACCTATGCGAGACCCATCTTCCAGCACGCGGCAGGTGATGAGCCCCAGCTTGATGATGTCGCCGGCTTTGGCTGGCACAAAGTTCACCGGGATGCCATCGGTGGGGATATCACGGCCAGGGCCAAGTTCGACATCATCATCAATGGGTTCAATGGTAGAAGTCTATGGCGACATGATAAGATGTTTGGGTAGCTCGCAAGGAATAAGTTTGTTTATACAAGATACAGAATTACAGGCACATCAAGGTTACCATAAAAGAGGCCTTCTTTTCAATCGCTTTCGGTCACCAACAGAGTGGAGACTCTACCCCGGATTCATCCCCGGATTCATCCCCCGAGTTTTGCGGGGGAACATAGCTTCACGATCCTCGGCCGCGTCTTCCACTGAATGCGGAATGCCCGAGGCTCTCCGTTGAACACGAGCTGCGGGCCGTGCTCGTAAATCCGTATCAAGACGCTAGACAGCTCCGGAACAACAGATGACAACACGTCGTGCTCCTTATGAACCCTTGCATTTATGAGATCCATGATTGACAACCTCGAATAAGATCTGCAATTCGAAGTGTTAGAATTCCTTTCAGTTCTCAAGCAAGACTTTCACAGAACCGTACAATATATTATGAACCTAGAAACATCCCCCACGACCTCCCCCATGACCCCTTCAAGGCATGCGTCGTCCCCCGCCCCATCGGCTGGATCTCTACCATCTCCGGTACAGACCCGGACACGCATAACATCGCGCCCTACTCGCAGTTCAACAACCTCACCTTCGACCCGCCATACGTCATATTCTCGGCCAACCAGAAGCCCGACTCGCAGCGCAAAGACACGGTCCGCAACGCCGAGCTCACGGGCAAGTTCTACTGGAACCTGGCCACCTGGGACCTCCGCGAGGCCGTCAACATCTCGGCGCAGCAGGTCGAATACGGCGTGGACGAGTTTGAGCGCGCGGGGCTCGAGAAGGAGTACAGCCGCGCGCTGCCGGGTAATCCTGTGCCGATGGTCAAGAACAGTCCCGTCAAGTTTGAGTGTGTCTACCACACAACTCTGCGGCTGCCTGCTAAGCCGCCGATGGGGACGGTCGACGTCGTCATTGGTAGGGTGATTGCGGTGCATATCCGGGATGACGTCTTGACCGATGGCAAGTTGGATGTTTCCAAGACGCAACCTATTGCTCGATGCGGGTATTTTCAGTATGCGGTGATTCGGGAGACGTTTAAGATAATTATTCCAGGTATGGATGAGGCAACGCACGCGGGGTTGGAAGGGAGCAGTGCGATACATCAGAAGATTCAGGATGTTCACCTATGAGAGTCAGTAGCTGAGACAATTAGACATCATTTGAATGTTTAGATGATTCTTTGTATGATTTTGGTGTGATTGGCAAGCTCTCCAGTACATGAGTAAGCCCCCCTGAACCCCTTCTATTACTACATAGTTACTCTTTTACCTGAGTCTCCCGAAGATAGAAAGAGATAATTCTCTTATTTCTGGTACGGAGTTTGGAGCAGTTAAACAACCCATGAGAGGTTTAACCTTTCATGATAATAGAGCTAGGTATAAGTCTTCTACTGTAGGCGGCAGAAGGTTAAAAAAAGAGGCCACTCTGTTAACATTGGGATATAATGCTATGAGATATTGACAATGCGTTTTTATTATAGTTAAAGCCCGGCCCTTGAAGCCTCAAGATAAACTTTTCATTTACACTTATTCCGTGATTCCAGTAGTACCCAAGACGCAGAAAATCACTTGATACATGTCCAATGTCAACCACACCCCGCCATTCATCAGAAAATATCATCGAGAAACGAAAAGTCCTGCACGCATCCAAAGTCATCAACAGAGAACTGGCCATCTATCATCATCTGATCCGGGTCTAGGAGTGGATCTAGTATACCACCCATGGAGAAATCCGGCATCGTGTTAGTATATGCCTAACGCCATGGACTCTATATCATATCAGTGAGTTGCAGAGGCAATGACGAGACATCCGTGGTAGCCTATGGGGGGCCAGACGCATTTGGTTCAACTGATCTGATAGGGGGCTGCTGCTGTGGACCATGTGGCTGCTGTGGTTGTGTTTCCTGTCTGGGATAACTTGCGGTAGCCGATGAAGTATGCATCACTGGCACAGCCGATGAGGATGACGCCACGGAACCTCTGAAAGATGCCCGCCTCAAGTCATTCGCATTCCTCGAGCCTCGTCTAGCCCGCTTGCTCAAAGCCTCCCGCCGTGCCGACCGCGCCTTTTCCAGCAACCTAATGATGGACCGCCACTGCTGAGGTTTCCTGCCATTCAGCAGCGAAGCGGGATGCTCCCACCGCAGCACGATGGCCTTTTCGACCGCTTCCCACGCTCGACGCGAGTATCTGCAGAACGGATCCATCTGCAGCCAGACGAGGACGAGCGAGAATGCATGCCATTGCGTGTAGGAGCTGAAAAGCCAGAGCCACGGGCGCGTACGCGGATCGGTCCGCAGTTTGTAGTTGAGTTCCATCACCTCGACAGCGACGAGGAAGAGCCTCTCGCGGGTGGCTTCTGGCATGGTTTTTGCGTCGTGTAGTGGGTTGCATCCGTGCAGTCTGGCTTTATGGAAGAGCATCCTGGTGAAGATGACAGTAGTCTGAAGCTCATCTCAGCACGTTTCGTTTACAGTACAGCGGCCTAAAAACTCACCCAGTGAAAGGCATTTGTCGGAGAACATTCTCGAAGAAAGCGCTCTGAGAAGTCCGACTCGCAAGCCTCGACCCAATCAGCCCGCTCCTGAGGTGTAAGTTCCGCGTACGCTTTCCCTGTAGCTCCGCACAGTCTTCTCGAGTCAGCCATACAGCGATACATGCTGGTGATCTGGCAGCGGGCTAGCGTAAAGGTCATCTCTGTGATGCGTCTTGCTTCAGGCGGGTACTCTGCCATGGCGGGATATATCTGTGCGTCGTCTAGGTTCCGGGGCGGGTTGGTGTCAGAGCTGCTCATCTCAAGCCTGCGTCAACAAATCAGAATGAGGCACCGGAAAGTTCAAACTGGGACGTGCCGTGCTTACAGGTTGTATTCTCCAGAGTAAGCCTCCGCAGACGGTGCATCCAAAATAGCAATTTGCCACCAAAGCCTGCGTCGCATCTCCACCTCATATATCGACAGCCCAACGAAACTATCCTCTCTGTGCAGCCCAAAGGTCTGAGCCAGCCGAACAGCCAGGCCTGACAGCTTCCAAGACAATCGGGGTTCATGATGCTAGAGAAACACGAGGTACAGAGCCAGGGCCTGCAGTGGTCGGATATCGCCAGTATGGATGAGCAAGGCGCTGGCAAATAGTGCCTCAAGTTCCTCCCTCAAGTGGGATAGGACATATGCCTGCCCGTTGCCAAAGATCACGACGCATTCTTCCTCGCTCAGACTGGTCACCGCTCCGTAGTAGGTCGCCAAAAGGTTGCACTGCATACCGTCGGCCGAGCTCGGTGAATGCCATCCCAGAACAGCCTGTTCCAGCGACGGAAGATGCAACAACTTGGTCAACGGCTCCACCCTTTCTTTGTATATGCCCCAAAGATGCATTTTCTGGGCAACCAAAATCTGCATAACTTGTTCTTTGGGGTTGGCCAGTGTCCCCGGACGGCGACCTGTCGACGAGCTCTGCATGTCGCTCTGATCTTAATGGGTGTCGTTATCGTCTATATCTAACTGGGAGCCACTGCTGATCTGTATATCATTAGAAATGTTCCAAGCAGGGGTTTTACGAGCTCTTACCTCGGTGCTTCCGTCGTCCCAGAACCACCGCCTCACGTATATGTCTTTGCCGTGGTCGCGGACAATCTTGCCAGGGCTCTCGCTGCGGCTCGACACTGCACTAGGGGTTTTACCAGTTGCTTCCTGTCCCTCTGCCTGGTGCTCAGTTCCAGTTGAGCTCTCTTGGATATAAGGCTCAGGCTGAATCTCAGACGCTGCTCCTTCCTGAGCAGCAGTGGGAACCACAGGCTGCAGAGGTTCCGTTTGACCATCCCCATCAGAGAACTGATTGGAAGGCAAAGAAGCCTCAGCCGTCTCGGACTCCTTGGGCTCCAGTGTCTGCACAGCCTTCTCAAGTCTCTGCAGCATCTCAAAGATCTCCGGTGCCATCCCAACCTGAGCCCGGTTCGCGATGCTGGCGGGGAACACGCACTCGTTTCCAGCCTTGACGCAGCTGGTGCATGGCTTCTGTTTGTCGCACTTGACCTTTCGCTTGCTACACATCAAGCATGAGCGCCGTTTTCTGCCGGCATTGCTTGTGTGTGTTGGAGCTGTGTTGGAGGCGGAGGCGCTCGCTGTCGAGGGTATCTGCTTGTCCGCCATGTTGCTTTGGTTCGTGCCGTGACCTAGCCCCGGTTCCACGAGACTGGGGATGGGAGTGTATGAAGCACGATCTAGACAGTCGCACTACTGATTAGACTTCCGGGACCCCGGCCGAGAGACTTACAGACGCTGTTCGAGATCGAGGTGACCAAAATTACAGGGATTGACCCGTCGGCCGAGACCGCCGAGCAGCACTATGGTGATCGAGACTAGGCTCCACTATCTATCACATCACCAAGAAGGTGAACAGTTGGAAAAATATTCGTAAATAAATACGAGGTCATGCTACATCATGTCTCGCGATAGCAGCAATTCCAATACGCCCTCTGCCAATTGCTAATTCCTAACTAGGAGCACATTACCATCTCGATTACCTATACGAGCTTGCCATCATGAAACTCAAATGCGAAGAAACACTCGATTCTCTGACACAGGACCTCTCATCTGGGCTTCCGGGAGTAGTGCTTACTGCTTTTAGTAAAGACGGTACAGCCACCGTAAACTGCGATTAAGCCTCAACTCACATATCTATCCAGAGACTTTCTACACCGTTGCTAAAGGGCAGCTCAAAGAAGAAAAGGGTCAGCAAATCACACTCGACAGCACCTTCTGGGGCTTCTCCTGCACGAAGCTCCTCACCACGATCGCCGTGCTACAATGCGTTGAGAAGGGCTTGATTGGTCTGGACGACCTGGTTGGCAGCGTGCTGCCAGAACTTGAGAATCCGGATATCATCAAGGCCAAGCCCGACGGACTTTTTGAACTCGTGCCGGCCAAAAACAAAATCACCCTGCGCCATCTGGTAACTCACACAAGCGGCCTCTCCTACGACGCCATGCACCCGATACTAGTAGCATGGAGAAAGTCCAGAGGGGAACCCCCTTTGGTGATGAGCGGCAAGGTGGCCGAGGCCTTTACCCTGCCTCTCCTCTTCGAGCCTGGGAGCAGCTGGGTTTACGGTTCAGGCCTCGACTGGGTTGGCGTGCTGGTGGAGAGACTCAACGGTAACACGAAACTGGCCGCCTACATGGAAAACAACCTGTTCAAGCCTCTTGGACTACGAAGCTCGACCTTCCATCCATCCACGAGACCAGACATCCTGACAAATTTGGCCCAGATGTGGCATCGGGCAGATACGGGAGAGCTGGCCCCGATTCCGTCTCCGTATCCGCTAGATGCACAAGATGATAGCGGCGGTATGGGCCTCATTACGTCAACTTCGGACTTGATCGCCATTCTGCAAGATCTTTTAAAGGAGAAGCCCGTCCTCCTCAAGCCGGACTCTGCGGCGGCCATGTTTACGACTCAGTTTGAGACGAGAACACGTCAATACGAGGGACTTATGGGACAAGAGGTACGCTCCGTATCCACCGGTCATGGTCCGCTTCGCTAACGACTGCCGACAGTCCCTGCACAAGCAATTAACTGGAGACGACACGGGTCATCCCGAGGTAGCATTTAGCCTGGGTAGCTTGGTTATTCAGGGGAATGTGCCCAATCTCCCATCCAAGACGCTCACCTGGAATAGAATGCCCAATATTAGCTGGTTTGTGAACCGGGATAGAGATCTAGGCGCCGTCTACGTAAGCCAAGTGCTTCCCGCGGGTGATGCAAAGAGCGTGGGGCTTCTAGGGGAGTTCTAGAGAGAGATCTAGAGCAAACATGGGCGGTCTTGAGTAGATATGCGACGGCAGTGAAACCGACATGTATTGATATCAAATCGAGATATATGTTTAGAGAACACACGCATTGACTTCTACCCTCTCGGCCCCATATCCGGACAATCCATCAAATAGCACTTCGCCTAGGTCGGAAGAAAGGATAGATCTGCGCATTCTCGAGATCCCAAACCCGCTCCTTGACCAGGGGATCATCCTTAAGGCGGGCCACAACGTCGTCCCGCCTGGAGGCAAAAACCAGCATGGCGCTGCCGGTTATCTGCGGGGGCTATCCCGGGCTCGCACGGTCCTTCAAAGTGGCTCCTTCATATTAATCAGAGATGATTGTCATTATAGAGCGAAACAGAGTTATCTCACCTCCAAACACCCAAAAGTCCTAAGGGTCCGATTTCATCCTTTAAATGTGCTAACTAATAGGGGTCAGTCGTCATGGAAGCGTTACTTGACACATGGAATGTATACTCACGGAAACACGGCGGCTCTCCTTTCTTTGGCGTCAGGGAGGTCTAGAATGTAGATGAGCCACTCTGACTTTTCCACTACAGAGGTTGACGAGGTCATACTAGATAAAACTTTTGATGCAAATATGAGGCTCTTTAATTTACTTCCAACAGTCATCAGCACGGTATCGACCCAAGTCTTTTAAGTCTTGATCGGACGGGTCTCTAGATGCCGGACCCCGGAGCCCCGGCCGCTGTGTGCCGAGCATGGGTGCTGGTCCTACTTAGATTAGTAGATTACCAAGGTCCAGTCTGCTTATCTCTTCCCTTCCTGGTCACCTTATCCGGCCCCCGCCTACCCAGCCGAGACAGCAGAGACATGCCATGCTTAAGTGGTACTTGGTACTCCGTGGCGACCGTTCTTTTCTTAGATTCCCATCTCCTCAGGATTAATAATAGGCCAGGCTCCCCGCTGAAATCTAGCCGAGCAAATACCCTTACCCTGATTCGTGCTTCCCCGCACTTTTGCAAGCCGCTTAATACCACCTTGCGCTAAGGAGGAATCTCGTGGCATACGCTACCATATAGCATGGGTGTCTAGTAATAATGGATAGAAATGCGTTGCCCGTCTTATCTCGCCTCCTCTTTATGCTCGCTTACCGTGGACGACGACTTCCCCTCTTCACAATCATTCAGTATCGCATGTAGTTCCCAAGCTCTGGCTCGTTACTATTGCACACATTGGACGGTAATCGCTTCCACTGGCGACGTAGACGACCTTCCCTTGGCGCCGCCTTGACAATTGGGGCACAAGCCTTGGTACATAGACAATCCGTCATCGGATCCGGAACATCACCACTGCCAACACCAGCGCGAGATAGAGTCTCGGGACAAACCGCAGTCTCAAGTTCCGCCGAGTGACCAAGCCATGTCTAAAGGCGACACCATCATCTCAGCATGGAATCCCACTGGAGACGGCCAGGAACAGCGAGAACAGCAACAGCAGCAGGCACAGCAGCAGACACAGCCTCGCATGTCCCGGAGAGTCTACGCGGCATGCCGCCGCCGCAAGGTCGGCTGCGACAAGAAGCAGCCGTGCCAGCACTGCAGCAAGTCCGGTACCGAGTGCGTCTACCCGCCCGACAACAACCCGGACGCGCAGCAGATGCTCCGGGACACGCGACTGCTGGAGCAGCTCCACCGCCTCGAGCCCATGTTCAAGACGTTGGTCAGCTGCATGGAGCAGGGCACGCTGCCGCCCTCTGTGTTGAACTCCGTTCTGCCCCAGAGCCAGCCAGACCCCAAGAATATGCCGCCGACGCCACCGATGCCTCCTCACTCGGTCGGGTCCGGCGGCACGGGAAATCAGCCGGGGTACCGTCTCGTCGGCAATGAATCGCATGCTACACAGCAGACTCCGAGCCCTCTCCAGCAGTCTCACTCACCGTTGCAGGACACAGACTCGACTAGTAGCTTGCAGCTCAACCCTGCCAATACTGCGAGTGCGTCTGGCGAAGGCTCTCGAGAAGCCTCAGGCTCAGCTTAGTCACCGTACGGGACATTAATGGGGAAGCTGGTAAGGGATGACGGTCGGCAGAGATACGTGAGCGGTGCATTCTGGGAGGCTCTGCATACTGAGGTGGGCAAACTTCCCGTAGGTCACTTCCATGTTACTGATGTCCCTTCTCTCTAGCACGACATGGACGAAGCTGTAGTGAGCGACGATGATGACTCTGAATGCGAAGAGAGTCCCCCTGCATCCGGCCTCGAGTCACTACAATACGCCCCAATCTTCAACACCTGTGCCCAGAAAATCGGTCCCGACTCTCCCCACCTGCCTCAGCACCAAAGACTCAAGGCGTGGAAACTGTTCAAGGAGAATGTCCACCCGGTCGCGACCATCCTGCACATACCCTCGGTCGAGCAAATGGTGCTCGAAGCAATACAGGACCCGCGGGACCTCAAGCCACCGCTTGAGGCTCTCCTGTTCGTAATATACTTTGGCGCCGTCAACAGCCTCTCCTCAGACGACTGTAAGCTGCAATTCGGCGTGCAGCAGTCTACCCTGCTAGCCAAGTTGCGCCGAGGCGCAGACAGCGCCCTGTCTCGCTCGAGGCTGATGGAGACGGACGACATGCTCACGCTGCAGACTTTTGTGGTGTATCTGGTGCTCCTGCGCTCCCGCGATCCTACATACTCCTGGAACATGACCGGGCTAGCTGTTCGGCTCGCGCAGTCTCTCGGGATGCACCGCGACGGAAGCGCTCTCAACCTCAGTCCCTTTAATGCCGAGATGCGTCGCCGGCTATGGTGGGGTATATGTATCCTCGACACGCCTGCCTCGGAGGACTACTCGTGCTCTCCAGGCCTATAAGTCAAATCATCCGCGTCTCTATGCAATATCCCGAACTGATCCATGTCCAGCATGGAGCTAAGCAGCTTCGACTCCAGACCGCCCCTTAACGTGAACGACGAAGATCTGCACCCAGACATGACCGAGTATCCGAGCGAGTCTCGCAGCATGACCGACATGTCCTTCACGGCCGCCCGCTGCTGGGCCTCCAGCATCTGGCGGACCATGATTGACACGCGCAGGATTGACCCGGATACCGGGAAGAGTTTCAAGCCCATGACAGTAGCGGAGAAGCAGGCGTGGGTCGACAAGCAGCGGGAAAAAATTATCGACCGATTCTCCGGGAACAAGACATCCCGGGAGTCGCTCCGCTGTATAAGCCTCCGTCTATCTGCAAACGCGTGTTCTAACATCCTGTAGTTAGTCAGCGCTTTTATCGGCACCATCATCTCCAACCTCCATCTCATGGCCCTCAACCCTCTCGGTTCAGAGACCTCGCTGAACGAAGACCAGCGAAGACGCGTCTTCCAGGACGCGATAGAATGCATGACGCACTCATACCGACTGCGAGCCGACCCCATGGTAGCACACTGGTCATGGCTGACAAAATGCTATAACGAGTGGCACGCCTTCGCCATCATCTTATGCGAGCTCTCCAGACGGCCCCTGGTGCGAGACGCCGACAAGGCCTGGCGGGTGGTGGAACAGAGCGCCGTGCTGCGCTGGGACTCGCCGACCCGGCACCGGAGGGTGCACCAGTGGCGGTCGGTCATGCGGAGCATCGACAAGGCGAGGAGGAGGAGGAAGAAGGAGCTGGGGCGACGCAAGTCTGCCATGTCGGCGAGGTCTTCGTCTACTGCGCCGCAGAACACGAGTCCGGCTGCCCAGCAACCATAGCCAACGGTAGACAATTCACAGGGCGGTCAAATTGACCTCGCGCATACGTATCAAGGGGATAACAGTGACAAGATGGGGCCTCTACTAGGGGAGGACATGTGTACTTTTCCTGATGATGATGGTCAGCTATACTTTGTCTGTGAATACTAAACCAAGTTTAACTAGTCTAAATGTTCATTGCATTCGAGTACATGCCGTCAAGTGTCACACCAGCCGCTCCTTCAATAAGCCCTCAAATTCATCCCTGGTCATCTCTGTGAGGCCCAATCGATCCATGTCAGCATCATAAGTGCTCGCAAGCCCAGGCGCAAAGGTCGCCCTCGTTGCAAAGGCGGCAAAGGCCCTTGGACTGAATATTCCCGAAGCCAAGTCTTCCTGTGCTTTCTTGACCAGGACCTCAGTGTCGACGGCAACGGGTGTCCAGTCGTGTCCCGCGTCGAGCCTCTGAAGCGTCTGGAGCAAGTCGCGTGGCGTGGTTGACAAGTCTTGGATGCGGATAGCTCTGTTCCTCGTCGCTTCAAAGTTTCTCAAGACGGCCACTACTGCTCTCGCAACAGTACTAATGCTTGCGGTGGAAAATGCAGTACCTCCGCCGTCGTAGATATTGACTGTCCTGGCGGTAAAGTCGGCGAACACGTTCAGATCGAGTCCATCGTCTAGCAGCAGACTATTGTATATGTACGTATAAGTAAGCTCGTTCTCTTTAGCAAGTTTCTCCAAGTACTCCTCGGTCTGGACCTTAGTGTGGTACGTGGGAAACGCCCGAATCTTGGGATTCTGCAGATCGGCCCCGAACTCGGAGGGTATGAAACGCTTCACCCCGGCAGCTACCACAGCGTCGATGAGTTTAAGCTGGCATTCCAGGCCGGTCTTTTTGCCTAGGGCAGACACAACGGCGTCGACTCCTCTGAGTGCGTCTCGAAGTAACTCGGGCGATTCGTAGTCGACCAGCGCGACTCTGGCCCCTGAGAGATAGTCGATTGGCTTGCGTCCGCGGCTTGCTAGGACTATAACGTCGAAAGACTGTTCTTTGAGGAGTACATCGAGCACCTGCCGGCCGAGGTGTCCTCCGGCCTGGAAATTAATCAGCGAGTAGTTCTCTAGCGAAGGAAGATGCTATTATACCCACCCCGGCCAAGGCGACGGACTTAACCACTATACTATCTGCGGAAGGCATTGTCGATAGGTGTTTGTAAAGTATCACTGAAAGTTCTGCTAGGCACCAAGCTTAATTCGAGAGTGAGATGGAAAAGGAGGTAATCATAGATATCCGTCATACAGCAACACCAGCACGTACGTAACACAACCAGGAGAATATCCATGCATCAATCCCCGGACTTCCCCGGACTCCCCGCTCTAACCCGCAGCAGCCTCCCCGCATTCCGGTAGGCGATCATCTCAAGCTCCTCCGGGGTAACCAACCCACTATCCTGCAGCTCCCGGATCCACCTCAGACCGTTCTCATTCTTCTCAAACGGATAGTCCACGCTATAGAGGATGTGATCGACCCGCGTGTTCCTCAGGATGCACGCCATTAGAGCCACACTCCACACCCCGCTCGTCGTGATCCAGATGTTCTCGTCCCACACCTGGCGCCAAGGTCTCTGCCGTTCTCCCCATCGCGCCGAGAGCTTCTCTACCCGCTCTAGCATAAAGGGGAGCATCTCGCCAAAGTGGCCGACCACGATCTTAAGCGTCGGCAATTCGTCAAACAGCCCGGCTGCAAACAGCTTCAACACCCCGAGCCCAGTGTCCTGATGCCAGCCAAACCCGCTGGACCCGAGACTCCGAGCCGCACCGGCTACGTAGTTGCCCTCGTAAGCCGAGCGCTGGGTTTCCCCCGGGTACGTGGGATATAGATAGATAGGTACATCAAGCTCAGCCGCTGCGACAAACACGGGCCAGAAGCGCGGGTCATCGTAGTGAGTCCCGTCCACATGGGCGTCCACCAGCGCCCCGACGAACCCGAGCTCTCGGACACAGCGCCGGAGCTCAGCTGCTGCCGACTCGGGCTCGGCCATGGGCAGCACTGCGAGGCCAGCAAGACGTTGCGGGTTAGCGCGCACCGCTTGGGCCAGCTCGTCGTTTGCCAGGCTGCTAAGGTGTAGGGGTCTGGGACCCAAGCCCGGCGCGTGAGACACGACCTGGAGAGATATGCGGTTGGTGTCCATATCCTGTATCCGCAAGGTTGCGAGGTCTGTGAGGCGGGCTGACACATCTGGCAGGTGCTTGAGCTGCTCCTCGTAGATGTCGGAGAGCTCGGGTAGCAGCTTGGCCGAGACGAAGTGCTCTTCAAGCGTGATGAGGGGAGGCAGTGGCTTGGGCATTTTGTCGACTTATCCCGGGCTAAGAATTATGTGACCAAGATCAAGTTTGTAAACTTTCCTATTGAGCCGTGTTATATCTTTTATCTTCATCCAATTATCGGCTAAGCGTCCATATCATTTATCCGAGGTGCGGGTTCATAGCTGTGTACGCTATCTGATGCCCGAGTCAATATCTTCGGGTCTATTGGCGTCAATCTAAAGCAAAGTAAAATAAGTATCTAATATCAATCCCGTGGCTTCTCAATCAGCTTGCTCTTGTCAATATAAAACATGGCAACAAGCGCCTCCCTCGCCTTGTCCAGGTTCAGACCCTTCTGCCTCTGCTGGATATCGCGCTGGCTCTTGAGCAGCTCATCCCTAATCTGCGACCACTCCAGCGTCTCTCCCGTCTCCTTGACAGTCACCGGGCGGATCTTGCCGTTCTTCTTCCTCCATACTCCGTCGACAATGACGCCCTCGACATCTCGCACATCACTGTGTCGTACAACAGCTGCCAATAGGTCCGACTCGGAGACGCAGCTCATTGAAGGGCTACTGGGTGCATCGAATATGACCAAATCTGCTAGTTTTCCCACCTTGATTGAGCCAATCTGGTCTCCTAGAAGGACTGCACGCGCTCCGTTGATCGTGGCCGCGTTAAACGCCTCCTGGGTGCTGCCTCTCGGGTTGAGATGCATCCGGCGAGGAGCGCCAGTGCCATTTTCCGTCTCGGCCACAGCATCCTGCTGGCGTGCCATATGCGACGCAGACCTGGCGAGAGCGAGGATGGAGCTTGTGCTGCTGGTATGGCAGTCTACGCCAAACGTGGTGTTGATGCCCGATATGAAAGCAACTGGCCAGCCAAATCCCATCTGGGCTTCCGTATCCGGAGTGCTCGATATTAGAACCTTAGTCTCGACCAACTTGGCCACCTCTTTAGCGTCGAGGCCAGTCGCGTGCGACAAGAGAATATCGCTGGGCGACTTGATGAGGCCATATGACTCGAGGGTAGAGATCAACGGGTTGCTTCCTTTTTCCTTATCAGAAACGTCACGTAAGATAATTTAAGGCCGAACTTACCCAGAGCCGGGTTCTTAGCATAGTGAGATATAAACAGCTTGATTCCCGCCTGGCGCAGCCCGGAAAAGATGCCCACGACAGCCTCCTTGGGCAGAAACCAGTAGTCAAACCCGAAACCGATCTAGACCCTGCCGTTCCCGTACGGCTGGGACCTGGCGAGCCCGAAAATGTGCGCCATGCTTGAATCTAGCAAGATATCGCGCGATAGCTCACATGTTCTTAAGTCCCATTTGGTAAAGTAGGGAGGGTAAGAGTAAGCAAAGATTGACCGGATGCCAGATGCTATGGTCGCGGATAGAGCTTAGGTTGCTATTCACACATTAGCATTGTCCTCGACAGAATTGGCCATGAGGCTTACCGTGTTCATTAGTCTGGTTGCCGTGGGCATAGTCCAGTACAAACGTAGTCCCAGCGTCGATCGCCTCCAAAGCTCCTCCGAGCTGTCCCCAGTACATATCCCGCGGCTTATAGGCATAACTCTGCCAGAAGCCCGTCACCAGGTAGTCGAAAACAGACTGCTCGGCATGACATCCCTTGAGCTGCGTCTGCCACAGGTGATGGTGCGTGTCGACAAAGCCAGGGCTGATGATCTTGCCGCTGCAGTTGACGAGCTCGGTGCCGGCCGGCGCGACGAGGCCCTTGCCGATCTTGGCGATGCGGTTGGCTTGGATCAGGATGTCTGTGTTGCGGAGGGGGTTCACGTGATCCTTATCATCATGGAAGAGGAGGGTGCCGCCTCGGAGGAGGATTAAGGATAATGCCGCTACTGATGCCATGTCTGCTAATCTGAGATTGTGATAGGTTGTGGCTTCGTCAAAGGTTGTCTCCGACACTGTCTTTATCAGCGTGGGCTCGTTGGTTGTCACCAATCACAACCCTGATATGAGTCGGGTTTCTCGGCCGAGAATTCCGCAGTAAGACAAGGAAGAGGTTATGCTCGGAACGACGTCCGCCTGGTTCCTCTTGACTTACCCTACACAAGTCAATTTTATTCTCAAGGCAAATCTGGACAGCTGTACTATGAGTGGCTTAGCGAGTTTGGGAAGATATGGTGATTTTTCAACTTTGGATGACTTTTCGGAAGATTTGCGTCGATATGCGGTATTAAATATCAATAGAAACTCACTCTTTATAAGATATCCGGCGATTAACTTAAAGGGCCTATTTTTAGATTCTTAGTAGTCACTTATTACTAATGCAGCTCGTTGAATAATATAATGCATAAAATCCAGGCATAAAAACTAACACCTCTTGACGATATAGAAACGTGACGCTAATAAAACGAAACCTCTAATATCGATCTTCTAGATAAGAACAACTTCTATGTATGAGACTCAAGCACCTCTATGGAATACCATCTTATTCCTAATGAAACCAAGCCCTCCAATGCTGACCTCAACTACATCTCCATCCTTGAGACACCCATTCGTATGCCATCCAACGCCCTCCGGGGTTCCCGTCATGATCACTGTCCCACGGCGCAAGGTACGGCCTCGAGAGGCAAACGCGATGAGCTATCGACACGACCATATCATTTGCGCCGTGCTCGTCGTCTATCGCACCTCGCCGTTGACCGTAGTCTTCAGGTCCAGAGCCTGCGGGTCCGGCACCAGCTTCGGCGAGACCAGGTAAGGTCCCGTCGGGCCAAAGTCGTCAAAGGACTTGGCGTAGCCCATCTAGTACCCGGATACGTCGATGGCGTGAAGGTTGCGAGCCGAGACGTCGTTGCTGATTGTGTAGCCGAGCACGTAGTCCAGTGCGTCGTCCTCACTGATGTCGTATCCATCCTTGCTAATCACGACGCTCAACTCTCCCTCGTAGTCTAGCAGCTCCTACGCGTCTAGATGGATCTTAATACCGTCCAGTAGTCCAGCCAGACGATCGGGAGTAATAGCAAAGATGACAGGTTTCTTAGGCGGCGGAAACTATCATGCCTATCAGCATACCTTCTGGCAGTCTGGGGGGTATGCTCACCTTTGTCTCCTTAGCATGAGACTTATAGTTGACTCCCGCGCAGATGATAATAGGCGTGCTGGGTAATGGACACAGTAGCTGAGCAGACATAAGTACCGTGTAGGGTATGGTAACTAGGCGGTAGCTCACCTTGACCAGCTCGGCCTTTTCGTCCAAGACCTTGAACCCAGATTCAATGCTCCCGGAAACGAGCTGCACTGTCTTGCCCTCCAGTTCCGAGGCTGGAATCTCGCCTTCAACATTACCATATCTCTCGATTCCTTCCTTATCCAGGAATCGGATAAGCCTATCAAACGACATCTTAAGATGAAAAGCGAAAGTTGTAAGCTCTCGGCGGCGTTTAAGGATAGCTAGAGCTAGAAAACAAATTTGCAGAAACCTCAAGACTTTGTAACCTACAGTTAAGGGTATCGATTAGTTTAGAGCATTTTCCAGTACTCTAATAGCTTTACTCAACACAGCTAAGTAAGCCGACCCGAGCATAGCTTCGGAGTTAGCATAGCATCATCACAACCGCAATACTATTGCAATATCCCGAGTAAAACCTACCGGGCAAAGTCCCGGTTTCTCGGCTTCCAGTCTAGGGTTATGGGTTTCTCCCCGCACTCCCCACACTCCCTAACCCGCACCTCGGATCCGGGGCCCCGGCTGTACCGAGTAAGCATATAATGGTAGCAACTGGGGATATGCCACCGTCAAATCGCCACGGTATCAGACATCCTACTTAAAACGATATCCAATTTTTACAATATCTCAATCATCTACTGACAGTCGCATCCTCCTCGATCGGCTCTACTATTGCCGCTACGGACATCCAGACCTGGAAAAGGCAAAGGAGTTCTTCACAGACTTCGGCCTGATCCCGGTCCAGGAGAAAGATGACAAGGTCTACTTCCGCGGCTTCGGCATAGACCAGTTCTGCTACGTGGCGGAGAAGACAAGCGACGGCAAGCGAAAGTTCAGGGGCGGCGCTTGGATCGTGCAGTCCATGGCCGAGCTGGAGAAGGCAGCCAAGTTGCCGGGCTCAACGCCGATCCATGACTTTGACGCGCCGGGCGGGGGAAAAGTAGTCATTATCAAAGACCTGCTGGGGGAGGGGGTGACTCTGATCTACGGCCAGGAAGATCGAGTTCCGGAGCCCAGGGAGGTTCCTAAGCCGGTCATGTGGAACACCTGGGAGGACAAGAAGCGGCTGGGCGATTTCCAGCGCCCGGACAGAGATTTGCCGTCTAAGGTGCATAAGCTGGGTCACTACGGATTTGAGGTCAATGTGGACAAGATCCACGAGGTCTTTGACTGGTACAGCAAGACGTTCAATATGAAGAAGACGGATACCTTATTCCAGCCGCAGAGCAAAAAGACGGTCATGATCTTCATTCATCTGGACAAGGGCAAGGAATACGTCGACCACCATGTAAGTTACGCTAGGCTGCTTCTAGTATATAATTTACTAATAATCGGGCAGAATATCTTCATCGCCGGGTCACCCGAACTCAAAGAGGGCATCAAAGCGCACCACACCAGCTTCGAAGTCGACGACGTGGACAGCCAGGTCGTCGGCCATCATTACCTACGCCGCAAGGGCTACATCAACGTCTTCGGTGTGGGAAGACACGTGCTCGGCAGCCAGATCTTTGACTACTAGTAAGTAAATGAAATGACCTCTGAGAATGAGCTCCTATTCTAATGGTGATGGAGGTTTAACTCGTCCGGATTCATCGTCGAGCACTATGTTAACGGCGATCTTGTCAACGAAGACTCGCCGCATGCGGATGAACCTGCCGTCGCTGCCACGGTGTCAAGCTGGGGTCCGGAAATTCCGCGAGCCTTCTTTACCAAGAAGTTTAAGGATTTACCTGGCATTACAGATATTCCGGTTATTCCTATCGAGGCTTGAGATGTACGGAAGAAAGAGCTTAGGAGGGGAGTGTGACTAAATATTTTCTTTGCAAAGCAATACTAAGGAGCATGTGAAAAATTGACTCCATCAAATTTCTGAACTGAAAAGACACCCATTATGAGCGTCATTTCTCCCATTCCAAACCCTCATGAGTGGGCTCGGTAGCATCGGCCTGTATTTCCCGAGCTCGGATCTGCCAATGGGCTTTGAATCGATACGTTGCCGGCGCTAGATGGGATGGAGTCGCTCAAAGATGATAATACTCCGGTCGAGCTAAATTAAAAAGCCGTCACAGGTTATTGAAGCGCTATCCGTCCACGGTATTACACTCCAACCCTCAATCACGGTCATATCTTCCTCAACACAACACCCAAAGACCATGGCTGGCAGAACAGCCGTCATCTCGGGCTCCTCCAAAGGCATCGGCGCCGGCATCGCCCTAGAACTGTCAAATCGCGGTGCAAACATTGTTCTCAATTACCCCTACCCGTCCTTGGAAGCCGAGTGCCAGACCGTGGGGAAAACCCTGAAAACATACTGGATCGCCGTGTGCGCAGACCTAGCATCCGTCGACGGTCCATCAGAGCTCGTCCGACAGGCCGTAGCCAGGTTCGGCCATATCGACATCCTCGTCAGCAACGCCGGCTACGTTCCCATAGCGCCTCTCTGGGACGCCAGCCTGAGCATATAGGACCAGGCGATGAACTTAAATGCCCGTGGCGCTTTTGCACTGGTGAAGGCGTCGCTGCCGCACCTAACGACGTACAAGCCAGCTGATCCCCCGAGCATATCTGGTGCTATTGGCGGGTCGCGCATCATCATAGTCGGCTCGGCTGCTTCGCGAGTGCCCAAGGCAAACCAGGGCGTTTATGCGGCCACGAAGGGCGCTCTCGATTCCATCTTGCGGGTTTGGGCCAAGGAGCTGCCGCCAAAGTACGGCTGTACGGTCAACCTAGTGGCTCCGGGGCCGGTGTTGACCGAGACCTTTCTTGACCACTTTACTCCTAAAGAGTGGGAAAAGATCAAAGCAATGCTGATTGCCGAGACACCAGTCGAGGGTGGAGCTGCGTCTATGGAGGATATTGCTTGGGCGGTCGCCTTTCTTGCGGAAGAGCGGTCTCGTTTTATCAACGGCGAGTTTATGCTATTGTCTGGAGGAGTCTCGATGAAGTAGTTGCAGAATACACAAGATACTTTTTGAAAACTTTGTTAACAATGGTTGGAACTAAGTGCTTTATAGAATGAACAACCGGGCGGGTTATCCAAACTGGCAAAAATATATCATGGTAGTGATTAAGCAACATAATATCATCCTAACTGTTACATAATAAACAACGGGAAAGGTCATCTCACCTCATCTTTTACGGAAAACCTAGATCATTTAAGCATATTATATATTTAATCACATGGTTCTATGACTCCCTCCGTCGTTGTTTAACATAGTTACCAACCTCGCGCCTATCCAATCTCCCTCGTATCTCACTCACCCCAAGTTTAAACAAGGGTAACCCACCCTTGCCCTCTGATACTAGACATCATCGACTCTTCATTGCCAATTCCCAATCGGGATCTGGGATAATCTGACCAAGTTAGTATACCAACCAGCTCATGGTCAAGGATGGAAGCAGCATACCAAGCCCTCAAACTCAATATTCTTCGGCCTCTCCTTCACATTCTCCGGCAGCCGAATGTCATAGCGCATGAGAAACTCGACCACGAGCAGCTTCATGGCCACCTCGGCAATGTACCGACCGGGGCAGGCATGTTTGCCGTACCCCCACGTCAAGTCCTTCTTGCCGACAGTGACCATCTGGTTTGTGTTCCGGGCCGCCTCATTAGCAGTTCGGATCCTGTAGTATCGGAAGCCATCAAAGGTCTGGGGGTCCTCGAAAAACTCCCGGTCCATGTTGATCGCTCCCGTTGGAAGGACAATGCGGGCGCCTTTAGGGATGCGAAGGCCGTTGGACAAGGTCATGTCCGAGAGAGCTTTTCGCTGAAAGCTGGCTGCAGGGTTTTAGTTGCCGCTTCTTTCTGTGCGGTGATGCTTAGGTAACTCACTCAGGTCGGGAGGGTTCAACCGTTGAGTCTCCTTGATGAAGCTATCCAGCTTCCACAACTCAGTCAGTACCCGCTTATCCACCACACCATTATTCTTCTCAACCACTGTTTTTATCTCTTCAATGAGCTCTAGTGCATACTCGGGATGCGTGGCAAGATCCATGAGACACTGAGTCACCGTCGCAGCCATGGACTAAATGGCAGCCACGCACAGGTTAATCTGGGCAATGGTATGCGCCTCGACATCATCAGGGCCTAGACCGCTCTCATAGAGATAATCTAGAAGCGACTAAGGGTCGCTCAGAGGCTTGCCCCCATTTGCCTTTTTGTTTTCTAGCGTCTGAGCCACCAGGGCCTTGCCTTCTTCGAAGCGCTGCATCATATACCCTCTACCCTTGACGAATCGGTAAACGAGGGGACGGAGCATGGCGGGCCACTTCTTCAGGTTCTCGGTCCATACGACGGCCGAGTATACATGTTCACTGGCGATGTCTAGCCAGTGGTCGTTGTCGGCCGAGGCGGCGCTGTGGAAGATTCGGGCCGAGATGCGGGAGACGAGGCGCATAACGTGCGGCCAGGGCTTTATGACAGTAGGCTCTGCACGTGGGATGGTTAGTGGTGGTTCAAGTGGCCAAGACAGGGGGATTAGTAAAGCGATGGATATTTCGGACGGCACACTTACTATCAAAACTCTCCAGTGGCCAGTGTCTGCGGATCAACTCTTAAATGACAGGGACATATTGCGCTAGAAGTATTAGAACAAACACTTAATGTGAAGGATATAGGCCTACACTTACGAAGCGTTGGATTTAGCTTTCTGTTCACAATATTGATCTGCTTTTCGTCTAGATTACCCACTTTGGTATACTTTTTCATACTAAACTGTTATTGAGAGGAAAACTATTAGTAATGCTTTAGAGCTTATAACTGCATGGGATATATACCTCTTCTTCCAAGAATGCTGAGAAACTCAACGACTTTTAACTACCAAGGCCATAGAGTAGGTCGAGAGGGATAATAATATTAGTTCCTAGACGGGAATGAGTCAATGACCTTGAACCTTTTTAGAACTTAGAAAAGGGTCCTAAGTATCCTCACCTTCTGTGGTTGTGATTCCAAAGACTTGATCTTGAAACTGGAAGATGTCAAGTCAGCACCCAACAGCTCGGAGAAACAGCACCATACCTTGTTGTAGCTATCAATGAGCAGTCTCCGAGTATCCTTGATGAAAATTTCAATTCGCTTCTTCTTATTTGGCACCTCTTCCTGCATAGCAATGGGCAGCTTCGGCATCCTGGCGTCAACCGCAAAGGACCAGACAAACAAGGCTCCGAAGAGCACAGCGCTGACCATTCCCCATCCCGCTACCGCAAGAGCATTCTGCTCAAGCTTGGATGCTAGGATGGGATAGTAAATTTCGAATTTGGCCGACATGGTGGTTCAGCAAGAGTGTGTATGGTGATGGCGGACTAGGGTGAGAGAACAGGCGAGACGATGAATAAAGAACAACTCCGCCAGCTAGACGATATCTCTTGCACGCAAACTAGACTTTGGCTGCAGCCATATCGCACTGAGTCCGCGTTCGGAGCCACACCCGGGTATATGTGCATAAGCGACGGTCCTCACGGAGTCCTCGGCCGACCAGCTGAGACCCCGATGGTCCTCTGATATGCCGTCGGGTCAGGGCTCGGAACTTTACTTGGGCCGAAAAAAAGACTTGCCGTCATCTGACGGGGTCGAGATCTCAAATTCCTCTTAGCAAAATGACAGTCCGTGATGGGATCTGTTGGCTCACCTCGGTCAACTGGCATAACCCGGGAACCCGTACTAGAAAAAGTGACACTCATACGTATGTCTCAGAAATAGCTTCAAGAAATATAGCATCTATATCTTCACCTCATGGGATCCAATATACCAACATATCTATCTTACCTCGCAACCCGTCTATCAACATTCCCCCCCAAGCCCTCAAGCATGACTGCACCAGACTTCAACCTCGCCATCGTCGGCGGCGGCATCGGCGGTCTCTGCCTCGCCGTATCCATCACAAAGTACACCTCCATTCCTGTAACGGTGTACGAGAACGCGCCAAAGTTTGGCGAGATTGGCGCAGGAGTCGCGTTTGGACCCAACGTCATCAAGGCCATGAATAAGATCTCAGAGCCTCTCGCGGCTGCCGTGGGCGCTCGTGCGAATGGAAACACGTTCCCAGAGAAGAAGGGCACGTGGTTTGATTTTCGAGTTGGCATCGACGGTGTCGACGAGGCTGCCAGGGCAAGAGGTGTTGTCGCCGGGGCGTTTCTTGGCGGCGTCAACCACCCTGAGCCTGGGAGCTGGATGGTGAATCGCACCTATCTCATTGACGAGCTGGCCAAGCATCTTCCATCAGACATTGCTCGCTTTGGCAAGAATCTTATCGACATCCAGGATCTTGGCGCCGAAGGTGTAGTATTGTCATTCGAGGATGGATCAACGGCACGCCACAGTGCAGTCATTGGCTGCGACGGCATCAAGAGCCGCACACGACGTGTCATGCTAGGCAAAGGCAACCCCGCCGCCAATCCCGTATACACTGGCAAATACTGCTATCGTGGTTTGGTCCCCATGGACAAGGCGGTCGAGCTGCTCGGCGAGGAAAAGGCCGTGAACTGTCAGGCCTACCTCGGCTACCACGGCCACATGCTCACATTCCCTGTGGCCGGAGGCCGGATAATGAACGTGGTGGCATTCCAGTCAGCCAAGGACTGGCCACACGAGAAGATAGTCATCCCAGCCACGAAGGAGCAGATGGTCGACAGCTTCAAGGACTGGGACTCCGACGTGCGTCACATCGTCCAGCTGATGGGCCAGTCCGACATCTGGGCCCTCTTCGACCACCCGCCGACAGACGCCTTCCACAAGGGAAATCTATGTCTGCTGGGAGATTCGGCGCACGGCTCAACGCCGTTCCAGGGAGCTGGCGCCGGTATGGCCGTGGAGGATGCATACGTGCTTGGGCGACTTCTGCAGCATGCTAACAAGACAACTGATCTGCCTTTTGTCTTTGAAGCATTTAGCAGGGCTCGGGTCGAGCGCACGAATAAGCTTGTCAAGACCAGCAGGGAGGCGGGACATGTTTGGCACTTTGAGACGGAGGGGGATGATATTGATAAGATTCGAGAGAACTTAAAGGATAGGATGAGGTGGATTTGGGAGAATAACATTGAAAAGGACATCGAGGAGGCTAAGGCATGGTTGAAGGGCAGGAAGTAAAACGGATCTGGAACTCTGGAAATAAATATAGAAGAAAACCGACTTATTATCACATCAAGCTCATTTAGAATATAAGAAGTATTCAAACAAGGTATTCATGCTTTCAAAAGGCTAGTCATGGCAAGCCGAATTTCAGGTACTAGCTAGGGCTTTTCGGTCAAGTTTGATATCCAGAGCATGCTTATTGGCAATGCTGACCAAGCCTAATGAGAAGCCTTTACTATTGTGTTCAAACATGATGTGTGCGCCAACCATTTGGCAATTCGCCGAGATATTACATTCAAGCTCTAACTAACATTTTCCTTCCCATACTCCTCCACCACCTAAACCTTTCTATCTTCACGACCGAAACCTTTTTCCTTCCCTTAAGTCACTCCTATGACTTAATGACTTAAAAACCTTAATCCCCCCCCCCCCGACTTCCCCGCTTTACCCACGCAGGTCTTCCTCTCGCCGGGCCTCTCTTAGCTACTAGATCACATCTAGCAGGCTATCGATCTAGGCTATATTTCTCTTTATGACCTCGATAAATAGGTACTTATCGGGCTCTTTATCCCTAAGACTTTTAAGTAGTAGTAGCTCTTAGTATCATATAAAGCGCCTAAGGTTCTATAGTGCCCCTAGGCGCTCTAAGGTTATAAGGAATATCTCTCCGCCTAGGATTATAAGCTCGAGATAAATATCTAGCTTAATAATTTAGTCTATAGTAGCCCTTATTATATTAATATCCCGAAATAATAATAATCATATATTACGAAGGAAATTATATATCTCACGGAGGGGGCTAAAAGGTAGAAGATATTAGTTCTTATATTAGGTAGCGGCGATATAGTTATATAACCTAATAACTTTGATTACTTAATTAATTATAGTTCTTAGTATTAGGTTTAAAGCTATAATATTAAGAGATTATAGCTTAAGAAGATAAAGAGGTAGATAATTCTCTTATTTCTTATATAGAGGTTAGAGTAATTAAAATACCTATAAGAGGTTAGACTTTTATAATAATATAGCTAGGTATAACTCTTCTACTGCTATAGAAGTTTAATTAGGCTATTATATTAATATCGGGTTATAATATTATATTATATTTAAGATCTGTTCTTTATTATAGTTATAGCCTGGCCCTTGATGGGTTAACTGAGCCTGAAGATCGAGAAGCCTTTACTCTAGATGATTATTTCCCACCTGGTACCGCCGGGCTCACGCTCATGCTCTGCTCAATATCATACATGATATCCTTAATGTGCTCAATACCAACAGAGACCCTCACCATCTCGGGTGCAACACCGAGGTCGATCTTCTCCTGCGGCAACATTACCTTGTGCGTAGTAGACCAGGGATACATAGCTATTGTCTTGGCATCTCCATATCTAAAGTTGTCAGCTGAAAGGTCAGACTCAGTTCAGGAGTGTCTTACCCAGGGTTGTTCGAGATCATCTTGAAGTTATCAACCAACTGCTCGCCCGCATCAGCCCCGCCCTTGATGCCAAACATGAGCACCGCTCCAGCGCCCCGAGGCAGATACTTAAGCGCGAGCTCGTAATGCGGGTGGCTTGGAAGGCCCGGGTACGAAACCCACTCGACGTTCTCATGCTTCTGCAGCCACGTGGCAAGGGCAATGGTATTCTGAGCGTGCCTCTCGCACCGCAAGCTTAGCGTTTCAATGCCGAGGATGAACTGCTGGCTGTTGAACGGAGACAGACACGAGCCAACGTCGCGTAGTATCTGGCCTCGGATGCGCATGATGAAGGCTTCCCGTCCAAACTTTTCACTGAAGTTAAGGCCGTGGAAGCCGGGGCAGGGCTTGTTGAACTGTGGGAATCGCGTCGAGTCCTTCCAGTTGAAGTTGCCCGAGTCGACGATGATGCCACCTGTGGCGCTGCCGTGGCCGCCGATCCACTTGCTCATGCTCTCGACGACGATGTCGGCGCCGTGCTTGATGGGTTGGCAGAAGTACGCGCAGCCCACCGTGTTCTCGACCACGAGCGGAACGCCAGCTTTGTGCGCAACCTTGGCGATGGCTTCAATGTCGGGCACGTTGAAGTTGGGATGCCCGACAGTCTCGATGTAAACAGCCTTGGTGCGCTCATCGATGGCCTTCCGCACCGCCTCGGCAGACTCCTCCACCACGCGGCACTCGACGCCAAACTCGGGCAGCAGGAAGGAGAACTGGTTGTACGCCCCGTGGTAATAGTGCTTGCTGGCGACGATGTTCTCGCCGTGCCCGGCCATGGCGACCATGGTCATGAAGACAGCAGCCTGGCCGGAAGCCACTGCCACGGCCGCCACGCCGCCTTCAAGCGCTGCGATGCGGCGCTCGACGACCGCTGTGGTCGGGTTGCCCGTGCGGGTGGCAATCTCGCCCTCCTCCTCGAGGTTGAAGAGGCGGGCGGCGTGGGCCGAGCTGCGGAAGTTGAAGACATAGGTCTGGTAGATTGGCACACCGCGGGCCAGGGTCGCCGAGTCAGGCGTCTGGCCTCCGTGGACCTGCAGGGTCTCAAACTCAGGGACGTGCTCTGGCTCTGCGGTTGTTGTCATGGTGATTGCTAGGTTGACTTGAGGTTGAGTGTTGTAGAGTTGTGACAACGAGGTAATACAACTATTGTGATTGGTGGTGGAAAACCGCCAGCGAGGGAGGAGTAGTGAACCGAGAGTGGCAATACTGAGGGATTCCTGGAACGAACATGGTCATTTTCCTGTGCTTTTCACGCTAAAGATAGGCCAATGGATTCCTTAAGCTCGGTTCCGACAAGCCTTGCCAATGCAATGTTGCGTAGCGCGGATCCTCGGGCGTGTCGGGATTTTCGGACGGGACTCCGAGGCGAGGCTAGTCGAGATAACTTCATTCGGGATTATCTAGGCTCGGTATGGGTCAGTATTAGCTCGATCCACACGATAGATAATACTTTTATATCCGTATATAGAGACGTGGGATGTGTTGGAGTATCTCTCGAATCACATCACAGTAGCATTATCATCATCCTAAACATCTAGAACTACGTGAAAGATAACGGTCAAGAAGCTCAAGGTCATTGTCGTCGGTGCCGGCTTCGGCGGCTTGGGGGCAGCTATTGAATGCGCTGACCGTGGCATGGATGTGACTGTCATTGAAAAGTACCCCGACTCAAACAGCCAGGGTGGTAAGTCATAATCTCCCAAGTGTCCATCATCTCTGTCTTCGGGAACAAGCTAACTCATCCCTATGTCTTTATAGACATTCTTGACTTTTTCCCCAACGCTGGCCGTATCATCCATCGATGGGACAATGGCAAGGTCGGCCAGCAGATTCACGAAACCGGGTGCAACCGCATCCGGACGATGGAGCTCTGCAAGTACGATGGAAAGTTCCTCATCGACGTACCCTGGGCGAGAGACGGCAAAGAACACAACATTACGTACGCCGGCCACCGAGGTCAAATCCATTCCATTTTCCTTGCCCATGCAAAGAAACTGGTCAAGGACATCAGGATCGGAATAGCTGTTACCGAGTACCTCGAAGAAGATGGCAGAGCGGGTGTCTTGCTCTCCTCCGGCGAAACTCTCTGGGGTGACTGTGTCATTGCCGCAGATGGGCCGCGGTCCATCGCCCGCGAGAAGGTCCTCGGCCTAGAGAATGATAGCAAGGACGGGAAGAACAGCGGCTGGGCAGTATTCAGAAGCTTTTTCAAGACCGACGAGAAAATGCTGAATCATCCCGGGCTAAAGGATATGTATCATACCGACAGGGACACTGTCAGGTTTTGGATGTACGACAACTTGAGCCTCATGGCTTTTGTCTGGAACCAGGGCAAGGACATTGCCTGGGTTTTGATTCATCCGGTAAGCTAGGAAGCCTTGACACAACGAACGCGTGTCTAATACTCGACATGATAGGACGACAAAGAATCCAGCGAGTCTTGGTCAAACATCGCGGAGCGAGAGCACCTGGCCAAGTGGATAAAGTACTTCACCGCCGAGGACGCCCAGGCACTGTACGAAGTAACCCCCGTGGGCAAGACCATCGACTTCAAGCTCGTCTACCGCCCCACGATAGACAGCTGGGTGAGCAAGGGTGGCCGCACCATCCTAATCGGCGACGCAGCCCACGCGAACCTGCCAACCGCCGGCCAGGGCGCGTCCCAGGCGTTGGAGGACGCCGTCACAGTGGCCCAGTGCCTGGCCATGTCCGAGGGAGGCGTCAAGCTCGCTCTAGAGGCGGCGCAGCGGATCCGCTACCACCGGTCCAACGCCGTGCACAAGAGCGGGCAGACGAACAGGGATGCGTTCTACAAGATTCCCTGGGACGACATCGAGGCGGCGCCTGAGGAGTGGGCGAAGAAGAGGTTTCCGAAGCTGAAGCCGTGGGACCCGCTGCAGTTTGCCACTGAGCAGTTTCCCAAGGTGGCTGAGGATATCAAGAAGGGGGTCGTGGGTCATCTGGACGATGTGGCTGTTGCTCCGCCTGAGGGCGGATATTGGTAAAGGGAGCTTTGCTAGATGGTCCCATGGATGCTTGTTTGTCCTTGCCAAGTTTATTGTTTACATGTTTGCAACAGATAGATATTTGAACGATAGAAATATTTGTGTCAGATCAGTCTTGCAGTATATCATTGTAACACTTGGATGTACCCTGTGCCCAGGTCCATCCTGGCTACTGAAATCCTTACTTCACGGTCCCCTTGCTAGCTTTGTCGTTGATTCTGGCTGATATAATGGTCCAAGTCCTAAACGCACTTAGTGGCAAAGGTAGGCGTTGCATTCTACGTGGTATCCGTCCAGATAGGCAAGACACGGTAGTTTGAAAATACGAGCATGATTTAGTGGTGCACGTAACTATGCAACATGATGTGTCAAAGGGGCTTGTCGGCTCGAGAAAAATAAACACAGGTGCTCGCTTCGACGACTAGTGGCCAACTCGGCTGCATGGGGGGATAGCTTAGAATTGCCCGACGTGTGACTGGTCGACTGCCAATATCGTCCGTCTATCTGACCTGACCGTGGCCTTCTTCCTTGACATGGCTCAAAAGTCCGGCAAATGATACGTTATTGCGATCGGGTTAGCAATGAATTTTCCGACATCAACATAGCCGTACCTCGTAGTTGTTTACCGACACAGCACACAAGCTATCAGTGCCCCTGTTTCTGTTGTTGACAAGGAAATGCTAGCCACTAATAATTGGTAGTTGTTTAAGAGCGGGAAGCGGGGTTATTGAGCGCTACGCGCTGACGGTGATGCTCGGCCGAAGTTTTGCTGGTCTCGGGATACTCGGGAAAATACACCGGCGGGCTGGGATAGACTGGTCATTTTCTTGAGGCTGGGCCTGGGTTTTATCTCTGGCTGAAGGGGGCCGACGCCGACAGAGTTTAGCAGAGGAGGGGTCGCTATGTAGTAGACCAAGGTAAAAATACGTTATCTCACAGGTAGAGGCAAGGAGAGATAGAGCAAGAGGAGGCCGTTTTGGATGAGCCTAGAGAACATGATCAGTAGTAGCATTTGAAAGTAATAAATCACCAAAAATAAACAAAATACGCAATAAATCAGCACGAGTAATCAACAGTTGGAGGATATTCTAATATGCCCAGGTACAAGCTGGATACCATGTGAGGCGGTAATCAAGCCATGATAGCTTCATCGGGCTAGCTCGACCCCAGGTTTCTCTGCATGAACCAAGACTAGCTGGTCCTGGTTTGCTTAGGCCCACAATTGAAACGGGGATTCAGATCGACTCCCGGGTTTCAATTCTTTCCTTACTTGGACAGTCTCGGGGGAGGGGGCTCGAGACACATCCATCCCTGTGCTATGTGTGTGTTGTTATCGACGCCGCCTCAAGCCTAGAGATACGGGTTATGCGGCGTATCTACAAATACACGTCGGCCCTTCCAAGTTATGGCATTAAAGCTCCAAACACGTTATCGGATCACATCGACATCAATCAGAACCTAAAACCATCTTGCTTCAATACTCTTCTCACCATGGCTTTATTATCTCTGGGGCCAGTCGTTTCTCATGTGCTCATCCTAGTGGTGGCCATGTGCAACATCTGTATCCTGTCCTACGACGCCGGCATGATCAACAACCTCAATGCGGTTCAGCCGTACTTTGAACGTTGGTCAACCACACTAAGCCAAGGCCCTCCGCTAACAGCTCGGCAGACTTCAACCTCGACAGTGATCTCATCGGTCTCAACGTCGCCATCGTCAGCGCCGGATATATCTTTGGCTCTCCGGTAGTTGGCCCCATTGTGGATCGTTGGGGACGAAAGACTAGCCTTGCAATGGGCTCAGTCTGCATCATCCTCGGAGTGGTGCTGCAAGCGTCAGCGGGCAAGAGTAAGTGATGACTACCAACCTATCATCCAGACTTAGGCTCACACATGGTTTTCAGTCGCCCAGCTCATCGTCAGTCGCTTCATCATTGGCTTCGCCACCATTATAAACGGCTCCATCGCCCCCATGTGGGTTATGGAGCTGGCCTCACCAAAGTACAGGTCCATGCTCTCGAGCTCAGTCCTCGTCTCGGTGCCGTTCACCTCGTTTCTGGTCACTTGCATCATTCTGGGGATATATGATAAGCAGTCAAACTGGGCGTGGAGGGGGATCATGCTGGTGAGTGCCCCAGGAAACGGTTCTTGCAATTTCTGACACACGTCAAGGGAGAGGCAGTGCCCTCTATTATCTCACTCTGTCTCTTGCCGTTTGTCGATGAGAGCCCGAGATAGCTCTTCTACAAGGGGCGCGGCGAAGAAGTAAGATATTTTGCTTCACTCTTAGTCCAACCTCGACTGACATTGGCCTAGGCTACTAATATCCTCGCTCGCTTGCACGCAGACGGTGATATCGAGCATCCAATTATCGTCGCTGAAAGCCAGGAGATTCTTGGCGCCCTAGAGCATGAGAAGGAGAACGACGGAGGCTGGAAGGACCTTGTATCCCCTGGTATGATTGACTTTTCCCGTTGCAGCTAGACGACATCTAATAAAGAATGCAGCCCCCAATCTAAAGCGATTCGGCATTGCTGTCCTTATGAACATCTTCTACCAGATCCTGGGAGGAAACATGATTCTATAAGTTCATGGTTCTGTAATGATTGACCTTTGTCCCTGACGCTTTCATCACAGCTACTTCTCATCCTTCCTCATTGGCAAGCTTAGAATCGAAAGCAGGAGAATTATAATCCTTATCAATATTAGCCTGCTACTCTGGAAGGCCTTTTGCAGTGTTGGAGGCGTCTTCCTCATCGACAGAATTGGCGCTCGCAAACCTCTTAGTAAGTCTGACTGCTCCACCCATCATCTTGGTTGAAATTGACACCTCCCTTAGTCGCTGGAACCTCTGCCACTGTGGCTCTATTCGGCCTGCTTTCTGGTCTTTCGTACCTTTCGGATGAACATCCCGACGAAACAGGATATGCTATTGGTGCTGTCGTTGTCGTTGGTCTGTTCCTCCTTACAGTATCTACCAGCTGGTATGTCTTCCCGCTCTTCCTTTCAATCCAGACTCCACTGACAACGAAACAGGATGATTCTTGCCTATACATACCCCCCTGAAGTCCTCCGCTACTCCCAGCGAGCCAAGGGCGTGGTAGTCGCCCAAGCCATCGGCTATGCCTTCAGCTTCCTGAACCTCTACACCGCCCCGCTCGCCCTCGATAAGATCGGCTGGAAGTTTTATGCCATCAACGGCAGCTAGAACTTGGGCATCCTGATTGTCGTGTACGGGTTATTTGTGGAGACCAAGGGCAGGACGCTCGAGGAGATAGACGAGCTCTTTGACGGCATAGTCTATACGCGCGGCGTCATCATCGGGCACCGTGCTGGGCAATCGCTGGAGGAGGAGGAGACTAGGGATGCAGGAAGCATTACTAAGAGACAGCTTACGGCGACCTCGACGAATAAGGAGTGATAGGATAATATAGTATTAAGAAAGGAATACATGGTTCGTTGAGGCAGTATTAAGCATGAAACCATCTATAGAGATTATTTGATATTAAGTCTTCCGTTGAAAGGCATTGCACATGATGGCTTGATTGTGTGTGAAACTGTACTTCTCTTGCTGAGTTGCTAGGTATTAACTCTGCTGGATCATCCCGAGCCCGGTTATGGAGTGCGTGCGATGGACTAGAGGCAGGATAGGCAGCTTAGTTCAGTGCCTATTGGATTGTTTGAGGGCAAGGAGGAAAAAACCGGATAATCCAGAAAGTCAGAAGACCAATCAGGGTGAAAGTTTACCTCTATAACCAGGCTACACCACGTACAGAAATATGGGCAATAGCCCGCCCCTTAGACTCGGCATTTACAATTGCAAAGACTACCTAACTACGTACCCGTCCCAATACCCAAGATAGAATACAGGTCTAAGTCTGTTAGGGAGGGGGTTCAACATAGAGCGGGGGCGATCAAGCCTCCGTCCGAATGCGGAGCCTAGTGTTAACCATCTCGGTGAGGCGTTGCTAAACTCCGCAACGGGTAAGACATACAGTACTTCATGTACGCACGGTCTAGAGGTTAAGAGACATTGCTCGGCATTACCTCTATTGGTCAACTGCAAAATGTGATGAGACAGATTAGAACCCCAAGGGCACTCCAGAAGCGTACGCTATGTGGCAAAGAACAACAGCTAGACGGGATCCCACCCGACGGTTACTTTATTAAGAAAGCCAAGGACAGTTACAAAATAGCCCGTTTCAAATTAGATCTTTGTATATATATAGACAGGGCCAGGCCCCGGCCAGGCTAATCATCCGCCTCCACCGCGTTCCTACCATCCAGCAGCATTTTGATTTATCACCTTTCACCATCCTTCTCATCATATCTTTCCTCGTCACCAAAGGCGACACTATTCACTTTACCGACAGCGTTCTATGGATTCAAAATGGGTCGCTAGACCCAACGAGGCTCACCATCAAGTGGCGTCAAATGGTCAAGGACCGAACTAAAACTTACATCCGTTGCAGGTTCACTGTTAGCTCTAGTAGTAGGTTGCAATCATATGTAATTTCTTCTGTCCTTTTGCTGATAATTATCTAGAGAAAAAGGGAGGCGAGCTCTTCATTCAGGCCAACAAGCTCCAGACCTTAGTTAATAAGCAGGGCCAGGATGGCCCTAAGTACACTATCAAGATCGACGACGATTTCCAGTATAGCCAGAACGAAGAACGTACCGAGCGCTTCCTCGTGTTTCATGATAAAAACAACAGGCCTTATTAGGTACATTCTTTCACTATAATCAGGCAGACAGCGCTAAGATTAGAGTTAGCACCGCTTCGTCGTGCAACTCGTCATGTTACTTGGAAACCAAGCCATTAGGTGGGCTCGCAGCATGGGCTTCGATAGCATCGAGTCGCTCAGGGACAAGGCGGCCAGCATCTTTGGCGACTATCTGAGGGACTTTTAAGTGAGGACACTGGCTCTATGCTATATTTATCCAGGGCACGCCGAACGTATCTATAGGTTAGCTGTCGAGTTTGTTCGCGGCGGTGAGGCTTCTAGTAGTCCGAGTAATTAGACAACATTTATCTCTAAAGATCGACCAAGTCAAGTGACAGAGGACTACAATATTCGCAATATCCGTCTACCTTAGAGCTCATCGCCAGTAAGGCGCCGTATAGTAGTGGGGTCGGTTGTGGCCGCGGCATTACGGTATATTGTCAGCCACCTGGGCTACTTGAACGTGTACTCCTAATTTGTCATCGTTTTGTGTTCTAAAAACTATATGAATAGACATAGTAATAATTTATCTTCTAATGACTTCTTCGCAAGTATATCAATCAACAGGGGACGACTATTCGCAGGTACAACAGTCAAGATACTAGCACAGCTTGTGTGCATATTGCAAGCCCGTAGGTTCCTGAAGAGTTCCAGACGGAAGAGGGCCTTGATGATCACAGAGAATTGCCAAATGGTCCAGAAAAGCACTTTTAGAATGGTATTTTCATAATCCACACACACATACTAAGGCCTTACTTAATAATCAAGAGAAGAAGTGCACGGCCTAGCATCTTCAGCGATTTCACATACACTGAGGCAGAAATGAGGCAACAGTGTGTATTTGATAGTGGACTATCTAAGGAATGTCCTCGACTAAGGCCAAAAGTGCCCTCACCCGAGAAGAATTTGTCGTATCCCAGAGATAACCATATCTAGAGAGGAAGCCTTGCGCCTCACTGTGGACAGGATGGAGCGTGCCTGTGTAGGAACAGCTCTACGCATCAAGTGCAATGCACTTAAGCGAGAGACCAGATAGCCTCGTTGCCGTGGTCATCAACGGCCTTGAGGGTGTTGTCCTTCTTGGCACCTCCTATTCATTTAAGTCAGCTTTGATCCCAAGTGGACAGCATGGTGCGTACCGGTGATCTTGATGGCAGTCAAGGGAGGGAAGACGATGGGCTTGGTAAGGTTGAAAGCCCTGGCCTGGCCGCCAGCCTCGTACTTAACGATAGCAAGGGTGGACTTTCCGGTGATGGGAGCATCGCCGCCCTTGTTGTTCTGGAGGTTGTCGCCCTCAGTGAAGCCGAGGTTGATGGAGCCGACGGTAGGATCAGCGTCGACAGTGACAAAGTTCTGGGTGAAGGTAGCAGAAGCCATTATGCTTGGAGTTGATGAAGAATGTTTGAATGTTTATGTGTGTGTGTGTGGATGGTGAGTTGTCCGAATCTCAAGGCGGGATCATAGGCTATCTTTATAGTCAAACCCAAGGGGGGGTTCCAACTCACCTACGCGCCGAGATGGTACATTGATTACCATGGGCTTGCCTTGAGGTGTCAACAGATGCTCCTCGTGTTAAGTTCTCACAACGATCGTCATTCAACATTTAAAGACTCGGGCAGAGCGGCAGACGATTTGGCTGCTACGCATGATGGCAGGGGCCAATGAAACTGTCGAACTCCTAGACAAGAGACATATTGACTTGATGGCGGAATATCTGTGGCTCCTGGCGAGGTAATGGGGTATCTCGCCTTGATTCGCCCTTTGATACCCCGTTGTGGACGTCTTCAGCCGGGCTGAAACTACCACTCCAACAGATCTCTACCAAACTCAGACATTGTTCACCGCTTAAAGGTCGTCACTTACTAGACGGCGTGGTTTCCTTTCCATTAGCAAACCTTATTGCCGGGCGTTCCATATATAGCGACTACAATACCAACCAATCCGAGCAAATTCTACTCCACGTAATAAGGAAAACAGTATTACAGCTTCTATTGAGCATATAGTGCAAAAAAGATCCAGGCCGTGACTATGGGAGCCAATTTACCACGGTAGATTCAGTCCAGAGCCAAGGGGGAGCGGCGCCATCGCGTGACATTATGGCGGCATATCTGTCGACCTATGCCTTCGTCACATTTCTGCATGTCTTAGTTTTATGATTTATAGGGGAAACTATTTAGAATCTTGGGCAGCGAGGAGCAGCACTGCCTTCACGCGTGTCTTATTAATCTTCTCACCGCGGCGGCAATAGTCGATCGGGTTTGCTACGACAATTGGCAGAGTCTCAACTTGGATCGTACGACGGAGGACAGGATCTGCACCCATCCCCGGATATTCAGCCATTTTTGAACTAGCATCTTTCCTTATTTCAGCCTCAATAAACGTCATCTCGGAGCCATTTGCTGACTAGTCGTGAATCTTGACGATAGACTCCACATAGCTGAGATAGAGTCTGACGGCCAAAGAGCCCAAGCATTCTTCCGTCTTGGCTATGTTTAGGTTAGCATCTTAGCCGCCGCACTCATTATGGAAAACATAAATTAGTTAAGTTCGAAAGCCCAACCTTGTCAGTTTGGCTTATTAGTTGAAGCCTCTTTTCCCACAACCAGAATATTGAGCCGGTGCAGGTTCTTGGGCTACTCGGCAGTGGTAGCAGACGAATCGATAACGTGCCAACCCCTGCATTATAGAGCATAGTCACTTGCCAAGCTATGGCACCATGCCTTAAACTTCACCTTATTGGCCAACTGCATTAACGTTGAGATTCTTGGACTGCTCCGGAGAGACAGAGAATACATGTGAGTGAGACTCTCTGGTCTCGGCCCAAGTTCAGCTAGCCACAGTTTATGGAGGTATGCCACGCGGCCATGTCTCAGGTTTATGGATTACAATCGTCAGTCAGTCTCCTTCGTAATATGAGACATGGAGAAAAGAATCATTTCCTCTCTCCTCAACCTACCTAATAGTCGCAATGACCTAGTAGGGATTGGCGTACTCGGAGCACAAGAACCCGTTCGTTCTGCAGGGATGGCTGTTGTCTCTTCGCTCCGTGCATTTGTTCGTAGGTGCAGCTCGCTAGCAGACCTATAGAAGCGAGGAATGTATCACATACGCCATACGCCAAGCTTATTGCTCGAATAACTAAGTTCCCATATGGTTCACTCCAAAAAGCCACCCCTTTTCCTGAAGACAAGGTGACGCTCATGGACGGGGCGGGCTCGGATGATTCTAGCCGCCCATGCAGAGGCGGCCCGCGTCCCTAGCGCGTATGGAAACTAAAGCAAGAGTGGTGGTCAAAAATATCAATGTCACTTTACCTCTCGAGAGGCCAAAGTTTCTCGCCATCTATGGAAAAGATGCAACTTACAAGGCGGCTCCGTGGAAGAACCCTGGCCGTTATAGTAGCGGCTACGAGAGTAACCTCAGATGGGAGGCATTTGAAGGTAGGTACTCTTATTACGGGGGAAGGCTCAGGCGGTAATACGCCCCCGTATGTGGCGATTCCCTTCCAGGGCATCCAAGATCGAATCGCCAAGCACGGGGGCATTCTATATAATCATACTTCGGGAATTTCCCTTTCAGAGGTAACAATCTGTATTTTATTTACCTATTATATAACCCACTATGCCTTGTGACAAAATCTTCAACATCTCTCATGAAGGCTTCGGGTTGTTCCAAAGCGGCAAAATGCCCCCCCTATCCATACGTTAGTGCAAATCTCTCATGGTATTATATGCCCCAACTTGCCCTTTCGTTCTCATATCGGACAAAGCTTTTCAAGTTGCTTCCCCAAGCCTGAGGCACAAAGAAAGTCTCTCTCGGGAAGTACGAGTAACCAAGCGGTTTTTCCAGGTTTAATGGAAGTTTCGACAACGATCGATAGGGCCACATGTTTCGGGAAATCGTGTTCGTGAACCAGTATAGGCTTATCGAAGCCAGAATCTCGTCCAAGTCTATCGGTTCTCGATCGTCGGCCCAATGAATGAATTTTTCACCAACCCTGAACAGCGAATTAGCCCTAGTCGCTCGATACGATCCCTTGCACTTACCAGGCGAGCAAAGCCAGAGGATTCGAGGATAGTACAAACGAAATAGTCCCCGGACGTGTTTGTTGCTCAATCAAGTAACCATTCCCTGTTTCGAGCCATTCATCGCACCGCGCCACTCCTTCCTCCTCGATGGGGGTAAGCGGCTGGAAGTCCCTAGATGCATCGTGGAAGCCAACATTTAACAGGTTTACTATAGAACACCCAAGTTAGAGTCATGCCCGAAGGTCTTGCCATTAGCCCGGATGGACAATGGGCTGTTACAGCAAATCTTGAGCGAAGCACCCCGGCTCTAGATAGTCCCAACCAAGGCTTCTTTTCTTCTCTTAGCCTCCTACGAGTGGATGCTGAGACAGGTGCTCTAGACACGGTTGGGACGTTTGCCTATGATGGTATATTACCGGAAGGCGTTGTATTCGATTCTTCGAGTCGATTTGTCGCAGCCACAACCTTCGATCAGTACGACAAGACATCGCCTGGGGGCTCAGTTGATTTTTGGCCAATCTCAGGAGACCACGCTGATATTAACCGGATAGAGTTTATCAAAACAAGCTATTCAATTCCTATTACTCAAGGCGCACACTCTATTACTCTAGTATCTTAGATTAAGGTTATAGTATTTTACGACATGGGCTTGAGTTATTAGAAAGTAGGATTAGGCTTAAAGAGATACTCTTATTTTATTTCTCTTCCCCGTTGACTGGCCATACACCTGTTTCACACCCTCGATTGGCTCCAGCCATCCCACACGAGACTCGACAAACTACTCAACCTGAGGCCGCAGTTTGGTCTCATGTAAATGGAAATCATCGACAGTCCCGATGCGCATAAACTTAACATTGGGGAAACCAGAGCTCTCGCGCCACATAAGAGTTCCACATATGGAGCAGAAATAGTTAGTCATGGTGTTATGGGTGCCAACTGTCTTGGCCTGTCCGAAGCTCTTGAGGGTTTCGCGGCCACGGATGAAGTTTATAGCGTCATTCTTGACGGTGAAGTTGGACGCAAACATGGAGGCTGTGACTTTACGACAGTCTGTGCAGTGGCACACAAAAGTGTTGACAAAGCCGGGCCCCGACGTTGGCTGCGGTAATGACTTGTTAATCCTGATTTTGATCAGAATACCCAAGCTTCAACTTACAAAGGCAATCTGCACGGCACCGCAGAAGCAAGTCACGGTCGCTTCATCATCTTTGAACCAGCCATCGTCGGCGAGGCCTGCCAGAGGAAAGGAGGCGGTTGGTTTATCAGACTTGTCAGCCATAGCGTAGGCTCTTTTGGAATTCCTTTTTATAGTACACCGGTGATATAAAGGGCGGTGAGACGACGGTACTAGTGGCAATACAGCACCCAAGCGACAATAATGAGGTTGAGAGGACGTATTACGAGGCTTAGAGTCAACTCTCAATAAATTTGAATTAGTTACGTTTTTCTTCCCCTCCTACATCCTTTTTATGTTTTCTACTTTTCCGACTTTTCCGATGGCCCGTCATTCGTACTGTTTGAGTTGCATTACTAATTGCTGATGATATTAAGAACATTTGTAAGCCGAATGCCAAAGTCTGATATTGAATGCCTCTCTTACGCAGTGTGGAAGAATAGCGCTGGCAGGTAGCCACCAAACTCACCTGGTGAGCCTACCGTCACACTTGATCAAAACTACATGTTCTTCAAACGTTATATTTTTCTTCATATAGACACTAGACAGAACCTTGCTTGCAGGCGGGAGAACATTATCTGCGCATTTATCCGCCTCGGTGACCAGGACCTATCAGTCCGCTCGTCGGACCCATCGGACTCATCGGACTCGTCGGAATCTTATCGGAGCATCGTCCGATCACAGTTCCTACAATGGACCTATATCGCCATCACTCGACTGTGTCCACCGCTGCGGAGTGGCTGACTGGCCATATCCGCCGATCCCTCATCCCCGATGTGGGATATGGGCGATAAAACGGCCTTACATAAAACGCAGACAGAATCCAAGTAGTCTATTTGTTCGTTTGACCAGCTAGTCAGCCGCTCACCAAGCTCAAAGTCCATCCGTACTCGATACCGCAAAATACATCATCCTCTCGACCCTCTGTCACCCGCGGAGATTGCCGTGGTGGCTACGCTCGTCAAGAGCAGCCAGCCTGAGGGCGCAGTCCACTTCAAGAACATCACGCTCGTTGAACCGCCCAAGAGCGAGACGAGGAGGTTTCTTGCAGCAGAGAGAAAGGGAGCCACCGGAACTGTCAAGCCCACGAGACGAGCTTCTGCACTCTTCTATCACCGTAGGACAGTCGACCTGTTCCTTGCCACGGTGAACCTGGACGCCTCGAAACTGGAGCAAGTAGAAATGCTCGACGAGAAGTACCATGGACACGCCGACATAGACGAAGTCATCGAAGTCAGGGACACTTGCTTGAGACACCCGGCGGTCAAGGCACGGATAGACAGGTATGAACTGCCCGATAACTTCACCGTCGTATGCGACACATGGCCATATGGACGAGACACAGGGGGCAAGCTTCGACGACTTGCACAGGTAACTTATCCCACAGCACGTCGGCGGGATAGGCCATAGATCGCTGACTACCCAACACAGTGCTTTCTATACGCCAAGGACTCGTCGCACCCAGGGTCCAATTCATATGACAACCCGCTGCCCTTCTCCCCCATCATCGACTATGTGACCAAGGAGCTCGTCGACATCATGGATCTACCCATCGGCTCGGACCACAACCTATCCCCCGAGGTCAAGTACATCCCACACCCTCCAAAAGAATGGCACCACGACCTACAGTCTGAACCGAAGCGCACGGATCTAAAGCCCCTGACAGTGAACCAGACGCTCGGCGCGTCCTTCACCGTCGACGGCTACCTGGTTCAGTGGCAGAAGTGGCGATTTCGGGTCGGCTTCAACTGGCGCGAAGGCATGGTGCTGCACGACGTGACGTATGCTGGGCGCGAACTGTTCCATCGCCTCAGCTTGAGCGAGATGTTTGTACCTTATGGTGACCCACGGACGCCCTACTCACGGAAGAGTGTTTTCGACGTTGGTGATATCGGCGCTGGAGTCGCCGCCAACAATCTATCTCTTAGCTGTGACTACTTGGGCTTGATCAAGGTACGGAAGCATCGTGGAGGGGGGCTACAAGCACGTCGTAAAGGATGATCGGGTATGCTGACTCGGATGGGGCAGTATTTCTCATTCACGCTGAGCGACTCCAACGGCAGGCCCGTAGAGAAGCCCAACGTCATCTGCATGCACGAGATCGACGACGGCATCGGCTGGAAGCACACCGACGGGGCCACGAAGGAGGTCTCGATCGTGCGATCGCGCGTGCTCGTTCTGCAGACCATTATCACGGTCGGCAATTACGAGTACATCTTCATGTGGAACTTTGACCAGGCCGCAGCGTTGCACTACAAGATCCAGGCAACAGGCATCCTGTCCACGGTGCCCATTGCGCCTGGTGCTACCGTCCCGTACGGTACCAACGTCAACCAGGGCGTCATGGCCCCTTACCACCAGCACGTCTTCTCGCTTCGCATTGATCCGGCCCTGGACGGTGACAAGAACAGCTTTTTGGAAGAAGACTCGGTGGCCATGCCCTTTGACAGCAGCAATCCAGTAGGTGTCGGCTATGTTACCGAGAAGAGGGTGATTCAGAACGCTGGATACTCGACAGCGCAGCCCAACCGCGTGCACAAGATAATCAACCCTTCAGTGATCAACAAGATCTCCGGATGTCCCGTCGCCTACTCCATCCACAGCCCCCAGAAGCAGATGCTGCTCGCCCATCCGGACTCGTGGCACGGTAAGCGTGCCAAGTTCGCTCTGCAGCCGTACTGGGTGACAACGTACCGGGACGGCGAGTTGTATGCCGCCGGTGACCACACCTATCAATCCCTCCCAGATGGCGAGGATGAAGGCAATGAGTCTCCCGGAAAGGAGCGCAAGGGCGATCTCGCGATGTGGGCAGGCCGTGGAGACAAGGTCGACGGCGAAGACATTGTACTCTGGCACTCCATCAGCCTGACGCACAATCCGCGACCCGAGGACTACCCCGTCATGCCCTGCGAGACCATGATGGTCAGTCTCAAGCCCAGCGGCTTTTTCGAGCACAACCCGGCCCTCGACGTGCCCCAGAGCACGCAGAGGTCGAACCAGAGCACCTTGTACGAGGGGCAGCCGGTGCCGGCGATCTTGAGCAGGCACAAGAGCGCCCAAATCTGCTGCGAGTCCAAGTTGTAAGGCTTGTGGCAGTCTTTGCTTCTATGTTTCCTTTTCCCATGGATCCCCATGCAGACGAGCATCCGTGTAGTGCGAAATAGACTAGGCTAGAGACGATAGAATTTCACGGCGTAAATTTACATAGTTACCACCCAGGGTCCCAATAGCGACACATCCATCCATACTCCTTGCGGAGGGAGCATTGTTGCCCTTCATTTACAGCTGAAAGTAGCTAAAACCCTGCCCCATTTCCAGCGGCGGTGGGTGTGCAGCATTCACCCATTGAAGGTCCATTGCGTCGATGAGCAATACGGCAGCTTCTGCATCCAGACCAGCGTCGGGGTGTAGCTGCTCGTAGTTACCAAGCTCTACCTCAGACACGAAGCACTCGGTCGCCATCTCACGAATCATCCTCAAAGTCGACCTATGGATCACGATCTCGCTCATCTGCTGCCAGTTCTCCTCAAGGATGTTCCTGCGCCCAGCGGCACTCATCAGCTAGGGCCGATCCCATGTCTCTCCTAGAGGGACCTCGCGCGCCAGAATGTCAAAGACGTCTCGCAGGCACTCGGCCTCGGTCCACCGGTCGGCCATAATGGCAAGCGTGCTTGAGCAAGCACGGATGGCATCGGGGACATCAGCGGACTTGTACGATGGTCGCCAGAGAGCAATCGGCGTGGCATAGAAGCAGTAGAGCAGAGTGACTCCGATCTGGAACTGTGTTAAGAGCTGCGACAGTCCCACGTTAGAATCGAATCGGGTTTGAAGAGGGCACGGCAATCACGAGAGGAAAAGCCACATACCCCAAGCCATGGCTTTGCAATCTCCCTTGCCATCTGGAACCTCCGGAACAAGAGGAGCGCATGACAGCAGGCTTGCACCGACAAGTCGCCAGCGACACCTTGCGCCATACCTCGCGTGGGCCGGTAGAGCGTGACGATGTTGTAGTAGTAGATCATCTTCAGCCATCGCGAGCTCGTGTAGCCCGTCTGCGATGGGTGTGACAGAGCGGCAGAATCCCGGTCCCATTCCTTGAGCCTCTCGCTGATTTGTACGCGCCAAGCGCTTACGGCGTCCGAGTGTTCGCTGTAGTCCTTATGCAGCATCATGTCCTGGATCTCCGACTCAATTTGGCGGCCGACAAGTACATAAAGGGCCGGTGAGACATTGGTTGGCGACGTCACAGGCTCGATGCTTTGTGACTCTGTGGATGTACTTATGTCAAGGAGCGTGTTGTCATCGATGTTATCGAATATCTACAGTAATTCAGTTGGAATAGGTGACCGCGATTCTTGCCCTCCAGCATTGGGGGGTTGGGGGGTCGGGGGGTTATTACTCACGGGGACAGTGATATAGCTATCTGAGATGCAACTTGGAAGATCATATGTGCTGCAAATGGCACGATCGATGCCATAGGCACACCAGAATACTCTCCTGCGGTGCTAATTCCGAATAAAGGCCTCGCCGGTGACCGGTGAGGGCTCTGGTCCAGGTTCAGGATCAGCAAGATGTAGTTATGCCATGACGCAAAACCTCATGGTCCATGACGACAGGGTGATTATGCTCTCCTTGGAGGGCATATGAAGAGCGTACACAGTGAGGAGGAGGAATCCTTAGGCGCGGATGAGGGGATCGGGGGCCGCGATCAGGGAGGGAAAGTATCGAGAGATTGCTAGGTTATACAGGAGCTACAAGGATGGCTCAAATTACCACTGTGCGTCGGGGAACCCCGTCGAGATGATTTACCTCGGACCTCATAGGGCCATTAATGCGTCGCTTGGCCATGAGAAATGCGATCGAGTAGACCTAACGGCATCAATGCCTTCATCCTAGATGATCAGGGGATAGGCATGACTCGCCATATACACCATGAAACCCTTCCACTGCTCTTCTGGCGGGCAGGCTCTTTTACCGCGCCTCCATGAGTCGGCCCAACCTAGAAATTCGTGTCTGAGGAGCAAGGGATACTGCGAATGCGCCATCTCGAAGTATGTCTGGATGAGAAAGCGCTCTAGGTCTGAGTCTAGATCCAATGCTTCGGGCGTTGGCTCTTCTCGTCGCGCGTGTTGGGTTGGAATTCCTGTGATGGCCTCGAATAAGTGGGAACCGAGGCTATCTAGAGTGCTCTGGGCTGTAGGCATTAGGTTAGAATTGATCAAGGAGAATTCTTGATTGCTAGGCCACTCTAGCCGGCTGGACCTAGTCCGATGGTCGTCATCGCGGCTATGGGCGGAGCCAGGGCCCTGCAGATGTCGTCCGGGGCTGTTGTCGTTCGGTGTCGTCCTTATTCTCGATGTAGCCGGTTCATCCGGGGGTCTGGTGTGAATATGATCGAGACTTTCCTGCGGGACAAGGGATTCTAATTGTGCAACACGTTCCTCCAAGCGTTGGACGTAGCTACGACAATAGTGAGCTACAAGATGACAAGAGAAAAACGAAAGGCACGTACTCTGGCTCCAATGCTAGTTTCGAGGATGCTGACTGAGTCTAGAGGCATTCTGCTGCCTGGTTAGAGTCTCCGCCGTCCCCGTAAACTGCAATGACCCCATACCTACGCCTGACTGGATACAATTCTCACAAGGCCGCTCCTCGGTACACTGAAAAGGATCGGTGGTGAGCGATTATGGGGCCAATTTCAGGTAATACTGCCCTCCATGCTGACCTTTTGCTTGCGGTAGCGGCAGCGCTGGCAAGCAAGGAGCTTCTGCCGCTTAGCAAGTCTCGTTTCCCCAGGATCCGCCATCTTGGTTCGCGTCCTTGGCTGCGTCAGGGGTACCGCATAGGCGTAGGATGGATGCTGGCCCTACCTTGAGCAGCTGAGAAGTGGGCGGCACTTGGTCGGACGAGGACACCGAGGAAAACGAACGATTATTGACAATCGTATCGGGTGGGTGACAGCAGCGGGTTAAGTCATCGGAGTCCAGGTGCGAAGACCCGTTACTGGACAGACTAAGATGGAACTAGAAAGGGCGCCGTCTAGGCGCACAGGTCCTGTGTGCTCGGGGCACAGCCCCCCCTGTCGGCAGGCTAGGGGCACAGTCCCCTGACTAAGCATTTCCTTCCGTTGAATCAGGAACTGACTGAATACACCAACGCATTTAACAGAGTCGATTACTACCTTTCAAATATGATTGCTGAAATGGGGGTGGGGAGAGTTATCCAATCCAAATTTACACAGCTACGGCAACTAGAGGATACTCGACAGCTTTTGTACCAAGTGATCGTCTAATACCCATTACTTCCAACAATGATACAGTCTTCTGTGCGCCCACGAGCTAAGTGCAAAGCATCTTGTTCCCTACTGTCCGCTTCGATTCTCCCCCAAATATCTTTGACTCCCCTTCTTCTATTCGCTAAAGGATCGTCTCCCATCTCCTCGGCAACCTATGCTTCAACTCGCTCATCCTCCGCTTTACTCCAGTCCAAATACGCCATCATCTCTTCTTTCGTCCAATCTCTTGATCCTATTGACGTGACACAGCGCTTGGACATCTGCTTGTAGTCCAAGCACCACTCGTAGCTCGGCTTGTCATACCTTAGTGGGAGTCCCATTGCCCTGCGATATTGTTGGTTCGTCTTGATGCTGCCAGCCGGCTGCGCTGCGTACCACGCGCTCCTTGCGGCGACATATCGTCCATATATGGCCTGTGGCGAATCGTACCTCGGTGGCGATGGCGATGGCGGGCCAGGCAAAGGAGATAGTTCATGAACAGGGGATCCTGGCCGCCGAGAGGCGCCGCCGGTCGAGTCTTGCAGGATCCCGGTCATAGTCCCTGGCTGATCAGCGAGGGCTATCGGTGCCGTTATCATTGCCGATGCTTCTGTTACTGCCAGTGCCTTTGCCTCTGCTGCTACCCTTTCCAAAAGCTCTTGATGCCGCAAGGGACATGCCTTCGAATTCATTTGGTGACCAACTTCATGGCATCTACTACATTTTGACGGGGCCTTCGCTCTTGCCTTTCCTATAGCCTCAGCGGCCTCAAAGGAGCTCGGTAGTCTTCTTGTGCTTGATTTTGGCAAGTTCGATACGGCGGGCCTTGCATCTATTCGAGCGCGAGGCTCAAGAAGCAATTGTTGCTGCCCTGAGCGCTTGAGGTGCCAATGCTTGTGGAAGTGCTCAAGAAGAAGAACTTTGCCTTGTTCTTGCAGGGTCTGAAGTAAGTGAGCGCAAGGCAATCCCAGTGTTCGCATAAAAACGCCAGTGCAGCGGGGCAGGGGGAAGTTTTATCCAAAAGCCGCTTTCGTTGCTC